GTCAATGTTTCTCTCTCATCAATGTTCCTAGCTCTCTATCTCTCTCCCTTCCTCTCTGTAAAAAATCAATAAAATATATTTTAGAAAAAAGAAAAGAAAAGCCAAAGAAGAATGCTAAGGCCCTGCTCAGGCCCTGCTCTTGGTGCTTCACGTAGTTAACCTCATCCGATCCTTGCACCAACCCGGTGAGGTTGGTGCCGTCTAGATCCCCATTTCAGAGACGAAGTCAGGGTGTGAGGGCAGGAGTGTAAGCCCTGCCTCACAAACCTGCCCTCTAAGCCACTCCCTGCCCTGCCTCAAGCCAGTAGGTGGGGCTGTACCGCTAGACACGGTGGGCCAGGAGTCCAGCCAGATCTTCCTGGCTCCAGAGCCCAAGTTCTAACCCCCGACAGGATGCCACTCAAGGCCAGAAGTCCCTCTGCCCCTTCTTTCCCCTCAAAACTGGTGCCTGGCTGGGCTCCTCCCTCAGACCCACCACAGGCCGCTCCCGGAGACCAGACTTGGAGGAGAGCTCCGATCCCAGAACTGAGAACATCGGAGCAGGAGGACCCCGGGGCTCCTGGCCCAGTCTTGTCTCCTCTTTGTATCGGGCGGGAAAATGAAAACCAAGGGCAGAGCTGGGCAGTGACGTGCCCAAGGTCCCACAGCTGGCAGGAGTCGGAGTCCCTGGGGTGGGATGAGGCTGGGCCGAGGAACAGGCCTACATCCTCCTCCAGGCCGCTCCCCAGGGAATGCTGAAGAGCTGTGACTGTTGGAGCCTCTTCAAAAGCCCTTTGTTGGTGAACCTGTGTACTTGTGAATTATTAACAAGCCTGTAGCCTGCGGGGTGGGGCTCACTCATTTTAAGACAACGTTTTTACAGTCAGCAGCTCAGGAGGGCTTGGGAGTCCTGGCCGGTGGAGACAGAGCGCTTGGTGCCAGGGGAAACCTGGAGGAGGGGGCTGTGACGGGGGAGGGGACAGAGGTCACCCAAGCTTTGCACGACCAGCCTCCCCGTGTCCACGGGAGGTGGGACACTGATCCCAGGCTACAGATGGAAAGACTGAGGGCCAGAGAGGGAGAAGCAGCTCGGACGTCACAGCTTAAGCTCTTTCTACACAACAAGGGCACCGCGTTCCCAATGCTCACACCCTAATTTCTGCGACCCGCCCTTCATTTCCACACACTTTCCCCACAGGATAAATAGTTAAGACCGGGGTTTATGCGATGGCTAGACCTGAGTCCAGGTTACACTTGGCACTAGCCTCAGTGCTCTCATCTGTCAGATGGGAGGTAAAGCCACGTCAGAGCATTGAAGGCCTTCTCTTTTTTTAAACATATTTTATTGATTTTTTTTACAGAGAGGAAGAGAGAGGGACAGAGAGATAGAAACATCAATGAGAGAGAATCATCGATCAGCTGCCTCTTGCACACCCCCTACTGGGGATGTGCCCACAACCAGGATACATGCCCTTGGGAATCGAACCTGGGACCTTTCAGTCTGCAGGCCGACGCTCTATCCACTGAGCCAAACTGGTTCCGGCAGCTGAGGACCTTCTTGAGCTGGGACTTGGAGCAGGTCCTTGAGGCCCCTCATACGTAGGCGGCTGGTCTTCTCACTGGCTTCATAACCTCCGCATGCCCACCTCTGTGCTTTCACCCACACTGTTCTCCCATCCAGTGCCCTCCTCCCATGACTTCATTGTATATAAATAATACAAAGTTCAAGGGTCAGCTCTGCCCAGCGCCCCCAGCAGGCCCCCAGGCCCCTCCAGCCTGGATGTCGGTAGCCGATGGTGGGTGGCACCAAAGCCGGCTCATTGTAGTGAATTTTCTTTCCGTGCCTGTGTCTGAGTCCCACGGGCGAGAGGGGCCTGGCCAGTGAGCATCTAGCCTCTGCTCACACGTGGGCAGGAGAAGCACTCGCTGCCGTGGCAGAGAGCCTGCTTAGATTTAAATGGTATGCCCCCAAACCCCTCCCCTCCCCCACCAGGCCCTACCTGCCTGGCCCGCCCTCTTCCCACCACAGCTGCTTCTGCAAGCTCCTCCTGCTTCCTCTTCCGACGCCCTAGAGCCAGGCCAGTCCCGCTGCCAGAGCCCTCCCCTCCGTCCCTGTCTGTGAAGGGACGCTCTCCGGCTGCCACGTGGCCTGATGAGTCATGGTTAAGTGCATCAGGGGCTGGGGTGGTGGCTGGTTAACTCCTCCAGGGCCAGGGTTCTCTCTGCCAGACCCGGGAGCTGCCGCCCTGGTCCTGCACATACGCCTCAGGGCTGGCACATGGTGGGCATCTGAGGAGCAGTTACCGGTGACTCACCTCAGCCTGGGGGCTCAGGGGAGAGGGAGCTGAGGAGGCAAGAGTGTGAATTTTGTAGTCCGGAGGGCTGGGTTCCAATTGCAACTTGCCATGTATTAGGTGAGTGGCCGTGAGCAAGTCACATGAACTCTGTGCCTCGGTCCCCCCCCCCCCAATCTGTAAAATGGCCGAAGGGGGATCATCTGCGAAGGCGAGTGCGTGCTGCTGGCTAGCAATGTGTGCTGCGTGGCATTACTGTCCGCCTTTTTGTCTCCTCCAACACAGACACCAGTGGCAAGTGGGTGGGATTAAAACCCACGCCTGGCTCTGGAGGCTGGGACTTAGTCTGCATGAATGCCCCCAATGAATGCCCCCCCAATGAGTGGCCCCCCATGAGTGCCCCCAGTGAGTGCCCCCCAATGAGTGCCCCCCCAATGAATGTCCCCCCAATGAATACCCCCCAATGAGTCCCCCCAATGAGTGCCCCCCAATGAGTCCCCCCAATGAGTGCCCCCAGTGAATGCCCCCAATGAATGCCCCTCAATGAATGCCCCCCAATGAGTGCCCCCAATGAGTGCCCCCCAATGAATGCCCCCCAATGAGTCCCCCCAATGAGTGGCCCCCCCGTGAGTCCCCCAATGAGTGCCCCCCAATGAATGCCCCCCAATGAGTGCCCCCAATGAATGCCCCCAATGAATGCCCCCCAATGAGTGCCCCCAATGAGTGCCCCCAGTGAATGCCCCCAATGAATGCCCCTCAATGAATGCCCCCAATGAATGCCCCCCCAATGAGTGGCCCCCCATGAGTGCCCCCAGTGAGTGCCCCCCAATGAGTGCCCCCCCAATGAATGTCCCCCCAATGAATACCCCCCAATGAGTCCCCCCAATGAGTGCCCCCCAATGAGTCCCCCCAATGAGTGCCCCCAGTGAATGCCCCCAATGAATGCCCCTCAATGAATGCCCCCCAATGAGTGCCCCCAATGAGTGCCCCCCAATGAATGCCCCCCAATGAGTCCCCCCAATGAGTGGCCCCCCCGTGAGTCCCCCCAATGAGTGCCCCTCAATGAATGCCCCCAATGAGTGCCCACCAGTGAGTGCCCCCAATGAATGCTCCCTTAATGAATGCCCCCAATGAGTGCCCCCCAATGAATGCCCCCCAATGAGTCCCCCCAATGAGTGGCCCCCCCGTGAGTCCCCCAATGAGTGCCCCCCAATGAATGCCCCCCAATGAGTGCCCCCAATGAATGCCCCCAATGAATGCCCCCCAATGAGTGCCCCCAATGAGTGCCCCCAGTGAATGCCCCCAATGAATGCCCCTCAATGAATGCCCCCAATGAATGCCCCCCCAATGAGTGGCCCCCCATGAGTGCCCCCAGTGAGTGCCCCCCAATGAGTGCCCCCCCAATGAATGTCCCCCCAATGAATACCCCCCAATGAGTCCCCCCAATGAGTGCCCCCCAATGAGTCCCCCCAATGAGTGCCCCCAGTGAATGCCCCCAATGAATGCCCCTCAATGAATGCCCCCCAATGAGTGCCCCCAATGAGTGCCCCCCAATGAATGCCCCCCAATGAGTCCCCCCAATGAGTGGCCCCCCGTGAGTCCCCCCAATGAGTGCCCCTCAATGAATGCCCCCAATGAGTGCCCACCAGTGAGTGCCCCCAATGAATGCTCCCTTAATGAATGCCCCCAATGAGTGCCCCCCAATGAGTGCCCCCAATGAATGCCGCCAATGAGTGCCCCCAATGACTGCCCCCAATGAGTGCCCCCCAATGAGTGCCCCCAATGAATGCCGCCAATGAGTGCCCCCAATGAGTGCCCCCAATGAGTGCCCCAAATGAGTGCCCCCCAATGAATGCCGCCAATGAATGCCGCCAATGAGTGCCCCCAATGAATGCCCCCAATGAATGCCGCCAATGAGTGCCCCCAATGAATGCCCCCAATGAATGCCGCCAATGAGTGCCCCCAATGAATGCCCCCAATGAGTGCCCCCCAATGAATGCCCCCCAATGAGTGCCCCCAATGAATGCCCCCAATGAATGCCCCCAATGAATGCCGCCAATGAGTGCCCCCAATGAGTGCCCCCAATGAGTGCCCCCCAATGAGTGCCCCCAATGAATGCCCCCAATGAGTGCCCCCCAATGAATGTCCCCCCAATGAGTGCCCCCAATGAGTGCCCCCCAATGAATGCCCCCCAATGAGTGCCCCCAATGAGTGCCCCCAATGAGTGCCCCCAATGAATGCCGCCAATGAGTGCCCCCCATTGAGTGCCCCCCAATGACTGCCCCCAATGAGTGCCCCCAATGAGTGCCCCCCAATGACTGCCCCCAATGAGTCCCCCCAATGAATGCCCCCCAATGAGTGCCCCCAATGAGTGCCCCCAATGAGTGCCCCAGGGCGCTGCGGCTCAGGTCCCGCGCTGCAGGAGCTGGTGGAGGAGGGGAGGGCAGGAGGTGGGGGACACATCTGGGAGAACTTTCTGGGCCCCATCGGTAGGCGGTGCGAGGAGGGAGCGAGCTCCGGGCGGGGGCTGCGCCCTGAGGGCCCGGGCATGGGCCTGGGCTCACCTGCCGGAGCCGGGAGGGCGCACCCGCAGGCGGTGGGAGCCCGCGGCCCGGCCCCGCCGCCTTCCCCGCCCCCGGCGCGCCCCTCCCCGGCCGCGTCCGCGCTCCGCAGCCCGGGCTCCGCGCTCCTGGGCCGCAGCTGGCGTCCGGGGCCGGGCCCTCCGCCATGAGCTCGGCCGGCGCCCCGGGCGCCCCGCCCGCCGGGTAAGTGCGCGGCCCGGGCCGGGGAGGGGGCGGCGGGCCGGGCGGGGGCGGGAGGGGGGCGCCGCGCCGGCTTCCGCGCCCGCGGCCCGCACTGCGGCTCCAGCCCGTGGCCGTGGCCGCCGCGGGGGCGGGGGGCGGGGTGGGGTGGGGGTGGGGGGGCTGCGGGAACTCGCGGGGGGTGGGGGGTTGGGTGCAGGCGCGCGCGACCCCGGTCGTCTCCCCCCTCCGGGTCCCAACTTTCTCCGAATCCGCGGCGACAGGACGGCGCAGAGCCGCCTCCTCCCGGGGGGCGTTTACACCTGCGCGTGGGCGCATTGCCACCTCGTTACAGACGAGGAAACTGAGGCACAGCTCTTAGGGACTCGTCTGGGGTCGCCAGGAGGGGAGAGGCGGGACTGGGATTTGAACGCAGCTCCAGGCGATGCCAGAGCCCGCAGCCCAGGCCACGCCGCCTCACCGTCAGGGGTACTGGAGGAGTCAGGAGACTGAGAAATGGGCCTGGGGCACAGCTGGAACCAGGGCAGTAAGGGTGGGTGTTGTCACTTCCAACGTGGCCCTCTTCCCCTCCCCCACCCCAGAAACCCTGCCGGACCCTTTCTGCCCCCGCGCAGTGGCAGCTAACTGCGGGGAGGTGAGGAGCAGCCCTTTGCCCGCCCTGGGCCCCGGTCGGTAGGGGCAGCTGGTCGGTAGGGGCAGCTGCCGGCCGGGGCTGCGGGAAGGCTGCTGGGTGGAGATCTCACCAGGTGAGCCGGGAGCGGTGCCCGCCCAGCCCGGAGCCTCACCACCAGGGACAATATTTGCCGAGGCCTCAGGGCTGGCACTCCAACAGGCAGGTGACAGGGCTGGTGCCAGCCCGGAGCCTCCACGGGCCTGTGGGGTGCTCCAGGCCGAGGGCTTGGAGAAGGCTGACGGATGTCTTGACTTTTGGTTGTATGACTTTGGACAAGTCCTTTATCCTCCCCAGACTTCTTTATTTTTACCTGACTTTATTGGGCTGACATTGGTTAATAAAGTTATATAGGTTTCAGGTGTACGCTTCTGTAATACAGCATCTGTATATTGTGTTGTGTGTTCACCACCCCGAGTCAGGTCTCCTTCCATCCCCATTTATTCCCCCTCCCCCTGCCCTTCACTCTCCTGTCTCCCCCTTCCTCCTTTTCCCTCTGGTAATCACCGTATTGGGATCTGTCTATAAGTTTATTTGGGGGTTGTTATTTTGTTCTTAATCCCTTCACCATTTTCACCCAGCCCCCAACCCTCTCCCCTCTGACAACTCTCAGTCTGTTCTCTGTATCTATAAGTCTGTTTCTGTTTTATCCTTTGTTTATTTTGTTCATTAGATGCCACGTATAAATAATATCATATGCTATTTGTCTTTCTCTGACCGGCTTATTTCACTCAGCATAATACTCTCCAGGTCCATACTATACAAGCAGTCTATCTATAGATCCAATACAATTCCTGTTAAGATACAAATGGCGTATTTTACAGAACTAGGACACATATTCCAAAAATTTATATGAAACAAGCACACATACACATACACACACACACACACACACACACAAAACAAAACAAAAATCCTCAAATAGTCTCAGCAATATTGAGAAAAAACAAGTTGGAGAAAACATGGGCAATAAAATTTCAGACATTTTTCATAGCAATATTTTTTTCTGTTATATCTCCTTGGGCAAGGGAGACAAAGAAAAAATAATGAGACTATATAAAACTAAAACAATTTTTGCACAGCAAACCATCAACAAAATAAAAAGACAGCTCACTGAATGGGAGAACATATTTGCCAATGATACATCTGATAAGAGGTTAATATCCAAAATTTATTAAAAATAAAACTTCATACAATCCAAAAGAAATAAGCAATCCAACTAAAAAATGGCCAAAGGACCTCAATAAACACTTCTCCAAAGAGAACACACAGATGGCCATAGATGAAAAGATGCTCAAGATCACTAATCATCAGAGAAATGCAAGTCAAAGCCACAATGAGACCACCTCAAATCTGTCAGGGCGGCTCCCATCGATAAATCAACACACAGGTGTTGGTGAGGATGTGGAGAAAAGGGAACCCTCGTGCACTGTTGGTGGGAATGCAGATTGGCGCAGCCAATGTGGAAAGCAGTACGGAGTTAACCTCATTCATACATTTAAAAATGGAACTGCAATTCTAGTTCTGGGAATATATCTGAAAAAGCCTGGAACACTAATTCGAAAGCATATATGCTTCCTACCTAGAATATATATTCACTGCTTCCTACCTAGACGTGTCCCTCCTTTGGAAAACAGGGCGGCTGGGCTGGCCGGTGTAAAAGAATATATGCTCACTGCTTCCTACCGAGACGTGTCCCTCCTTTGGAAAACAGGGAGGCTGGGCTGGATTGTGTAAATCTGGAGTCTGGTTAGGTCTCTTGCGCCCAGCCCCGATGAGTGCAACCCTACGGGCTCCAGAAAAGCAGTTTCCAGATCAGAAGGCAGGCCAAGCAGGGCACCTATCAAAGAACTCTGAACTCCCAGGACTGAAGCCACATTCACCCCTCTTCCTTGCACACTCACATGCCAGTCTGTGCCCTCTTGACAGCCCGAGCCTCCTTGCACTCTTCCAGCACTGGTGGGCCTTCCTCCCCCTGCTTCCCTGCCTGCCCGCCAGGTCCCACTTGTCTGTGAGGCCACATAGGTCTATCTCCCTCCACCCCCGCCCCTGGTCCGTGCTGTCTGGTGGGTTCTGAGTAGAGTAGGGAGGGGCAAAGCAGTGCCACCTTCACTGTAGACACTCGTTCAGTCACTCAGCAGACACCGCTGAGGCCTGCTCTGGGCCTGGCCCTGGGTATAAGGATCAGTGAAGAACAAACTAAGCTTTCAATCTGCATCACTTTCAAAATCATGGACTATTGTAAGCCTCCAGGAAAAATATAGCAAATAAAATGAGCTCCATGCCCCTGCCACCCAGCTTTTCCAGATATTCACATTGTGCCCATTTATTTTATTTTTTGTTATCATTATATATTTTTTGTTAATCCTCAACAAGGATATTTTTCCACTGATTTTTTTTAGAGAGAGTGGAAGGGAGGGGGAGAGAGAGAGAGAAACATTGATGTGAGAGAGACATCGATTTGTGGCCTCCTGCACGCACCCAGACCAGGGCGGGAAATTGAGGCTGCAACTGAGGTCCAAGCCCTCGACCAGAATCGAACCCAGGACCCTTCAGTTCTCAGGCTGACACTCTAATCACTGAGCCAGACCGGCTAGGGCCCCGTTTATTTTACAGTCTTATTTTAAACAAGTAAGCCGTGGCAGAGACCATGGAGCCTCTGGCGGCCCTCCTGCCCACTTACCTCTACAGAGATCATTGCCATCCTGAATTCTGGTTTTATCATTTTTATCTGTTTTTATTCTTTTGCGGAGTGTGTGTAAGTCTAAAAAAAAAGTTGTTTGTTCTTACTCTAAAAGTTGTATACCAACGGAGTCATCCAGCATGAATCATTCTGCAGCTTTTCCTCACTCGGCTTCAGGTTTCTGAGATTTAGTCTTCCCGATCCTCGCGGCTCTGGTCCCCGCGTGCCCTGACGGGACGTCACACCCCTCGATGTGAGACTCCCACTTGCTTACTTACCCGGCCTCCTCGACGAGCATTGAGGTGTTCCCAGTGTCTTGCTGTTCAAACAATGACTATTCTCGTACAATTGTCCTTTACACCCATGTGAGTGTTCCTCTAGGTTGCTCATAGGGGTCCTATGAGGACATGGATACTCAATCTTTTAAAGTTACTTACTAGTAGTTTCCTTATGAAAGTGGAGCTAGTCAGTAAAAGAAGTGATGGAAATATGTAATCTGGGGCGCGGGGCGGGGGGGGGGGTGGTGGTGGTGGAAATGCCAGTCACTAACTTATTCTGAGACCTTCTTATTGTGCTTCACATGGTCTCCGTGTCCCCGCCTCCGCTCTGATTGGTGGGGAAGCAGGCTTATAGAGCAGTGTTTCCCAAACTTTCTTCCCTGTCTCCAGTGATCCCTTAAAAAAAAAAAAAAAGCTTAGAGCACTAGTTAAGTAAACAATTTTACCTATATGTTCCCAAAAATTCTAGTTTAGCACTTCTTAGTTGGGAATCAGGAATCTGTATGTTAACAACTCCACCAGGTGATGCTCATCATGAGAGAAGTTTGGGAAACACTGTTCTAGAGGCTAAAGCACCTGCCAGGTTTCTCCAATAAGGCATCGCTGAGCTGCAGCTGCGGTCCAGACTATCTGCCTTCAAACCTCTCGGACGCCACGCTGCCCTAGGCCACGCCACCTCACTCTGTGACCCGTGATGTCTGCTTTATGTGGGACTACAGGGGCGTCTTTGGAAACAGAGTCACAATCATATTTGCAGTTTCGAAAGATCGCTTTACAAGTGCGAGGTCCCCACAGACCCATAGCCTTACCCTCTGAGTCAGCGCTCCCCCTGGGTGGTGAAGCAGGAAGTAAAAAGCCAGCTCTGACTCACTCTGCTCCCTGAGTGACGTCCTTGGCCTGCCTCCACTGTCCCTCCCCCAGCTCACCCCAGGGCAGGGGGTTTCTGTCCGGAGCTGGGACTGAGGGTCCCCCAGCTCCTCCTAGCCCTGCCTACCAGGCGCTAAAGGTGGCAGTTTCAGGCAGATTAAAGCAGCGAGGTGAGAGGGAAAGAGAGAGAGAGCTCCAAGCTGTCTGACGCACCCTCTCAGCCTCCAGCACTCTTCTTATAATACCTGGGCCGTAAGCCCCTCCCGCACTGCACCAGGCTCCTGCCATTGGTCACCAGCCCTGCGTCCTGCTCCCTCAGCTTAGTCCCCCTCCAGTCCTGTTTCCCCAGGGCACACGGAGAGGGCACGGGCACCGCTGGGGAGCTCAGGACTATATTGGCCCAGTGAGGCGGCCTCCGCAGAAAGCCCTTGGAGACACAGGGGAAGCCTGCGGACCAGGGGGGACCCCAGTCAGCCCCGAGAGGGGAAAGACGCTTTTGCAGGAAGCATTTCTGACTTCCAGGCTCCTGAGAGGAGCAGGACAGACTCCTGTCTTCACGTCCTTATCTCTCCAATGGAGATAAGATCGCCTGCCTCTTGGGGCTGGTGGGAGGACAGAGTGAAATCATTAGTCATCAATTTGGGTAACTTAGTGATATTTTCGTGGTAGTGGTGGGTGATTGTTAGTGCTGTTATTGAATCAGTGGGGCCAGCTGTCCCTGGCCTTCCTGCGTTCCCAGCCAGCCAGCTGCGCCCCCCACCCCCAAGCCCCCACCTAGCAGGCAGTCCAGGGGCCTGTCTTCCTGCCCTGCCCTACAGCTCAGCCTCCTCCTCATGCTGGTATGCCTCCAGCCCTTGGCTCACACTCTTGTCTCTTTCTTGGACTTTTTTTTCTTCATCTTGCCCTCAATTCAGTGCCAGCTTTTCCAGAAAAGCTTCCTTGAAAGTCTCACCCCCCCTTTCTGGGCCTCTCCAGCCCAGCGATTCCCAGGAGGGCTCTGCTGTCACCGCCTCTGCCTGCAACTGTCCTTCCTCTAGCCCAGTGTTTCCCAAACTTTTGACATCTGTGCACCCCTTCTATAATTTTCATAACGCGGAGTACCCCTCGTACTCATGAGAACGTAGAATTAGGCGCAGCTAAGCACGGTGCAGTGCATATCCCCACCAAACTCCGGTGCAGCGTGTACCCCCCACCAAACTCTTCCCCGTACCCCTGGGGTTACGCGTACCACACTTTGGGAAACACTGCCTAGACCATGAGTTCCTGGCCTGCTCTGTGTCCCCCAGCCTGGCGCAGAGCCGGAGATTAGTGGTATTTAGTGGGGAGGAGATCAGTCCCAGGCCCTCCCCAAAGAGCTTCTAGCCGGAGAGGTCAGCTCAGACCCAGCTCACTACAGTTCAGTAGAAGAGATGCTGGGAATATGTGCCTCTGTGTTGTCCGTCCATCTGTCTGTGCCTCTTTCTCTCCAGGTTGTCCCCTGTAGCGGGGTGGAAGTGGTGGTAGAGGGTGTTGCACAGAAATGGGAGGCAAGCTTGGCTCTGGAGTTGAGCAGAGATGCACATAAGCCAGGACAACAGACTGGACTCCCTGGGCTGAGCTGGTGGGCACTGGCTCACGCAGAAACTCGGGTTAGAACCCACGTTTGGGCACGTGACCTTGGCCAAGCCACCTCTTCTCTGTGCTCCCGTCTCCTCCCCTGCGGTGGGGTTGATGACCTCGCTTCACATGGCTCAGCGGGGGCTTCAGAGAGAATGCCAGGTAAACACTGGGGCCTAGGTGCTCCCTGCTCCTCGTTGAGTCCTCCAGCTGAGATGGGTGGGCCGAACACCACGCTGGGCCCTGGGCAAAAGGAAGACCCGGCCCTGCCTCAGGACGAGAGGGACAGGGGCTGCTTCGCGTGGGGCCGTTGTGGCCACAGAAAGGCACTGGGTCTTGGTCCTAAGAGTAATGAGGAGGCAGTGAAGGAGTTCAGGTCTCGGCTGTTATGGGAGGGACGGATCAGAGGGAATAACACTTCCAACATTCTTCCTTAAAAAATCCACCGAGGGGCTGGATTGGTTAAACATCTTTTAAAATGCATTCCTGAGCTTCTACAGAAGTAACAGGGATCCTCCGAGCCAACAATAAGGAGGGAGCTCCAATCAGGCCGGTAATGAGATGAAGCCACAGCAGCCTGGGGGTATTCACAGGTTCCAGAAACCCAGATCTTTGTTTTCATGGCCACTCAAGGGAGGGGGAAGAAGGCCGTGGGCCTGCCCACCCGCAGTGAGCCCCTCCCGCCCTCCACACGAATCTGGGATCCCAAAGGGTGGCCTCGGCAAACAGGAAAAGCATCCACCTCCGCACGGGGCGACAGCAGCTCTGATGGGGACAAAAAGGTTCCCTGGAGAGTTTACATGCTGCCCTCTCACACATTTTGGGTTTGAAATGTGGTCCCGAAAATGCTCAATCAGTGGTCTCAGGGAGGTAGTGTCCGGGGAACCTGGTGAAATGAGTGAAAATCCTCCCTGGAGGAGCATGTCCTCATCCCAAATGTCCTCATCAAACAGGAGCTCGTGGTAAAAATACAAAACACGCAGGCAGCCAGGCCACTGTGAGCGATAGGCACCAGAAGCAAGAAATCGTTTCTCTGGGAGTCTAAGAGACCAGGATTGACACACAGAATATAAATAATTGTGTTTAAAATGTGTAAAGAAATCAAAGGCGAAACAATAAAGCAGGGAAGAAAATACTGCCCGAGATGGCCAAGCAGATTTGAAAAAGAACAAAGTGGAATTTCTGGAGATGAAAAATATAACCACTGCAATGAAAAACTCAGTGGACAGGATGGGCTTCTGTCCGGAGGGGGTTTCTGTCCGGAGCTGGGACTGAGGGTCCCCCAGCTCCCCAGCAGCAGATTGGACACATCTAAAGAGAACTCGTGAAATGGAAGAGCTGAAGAAATTACTCAGACTCTAACGAAGAGAGTCCAAGAGGTAGAGTTATGAGACATGAAATATAGAATAAAATACAGAGAGAGAAGGGACAGGAGGGGCAGAAGTCTCCCATCAGACCTGGGCAAAGGTGACGGTTGGCCTGCACTGAGGACACTGGGCACGGAAGGGATGGGCTAAGAGATGTTCGGAAGGGAGAGGCGATAGGGCTTCGGGATGGAGTAGGTGATAGAAGCCTGGGAGAGGGCTCTGTGAAGGATGACTCTCAGATTTCTGGCTTCAAGAGCTGGGAAGAGGGATGTCATTAAAGACTGGGAGAGAATAGATTTAGGAGAACAAACAAGAGTTCAATTCTAGCTGAAACCGGTTTGGCTCAGTGGTAGAGCGTCAGTCTGCGGACTGAAAGGTCCCGGGTTCGATTCCAGTCAAGGGCATGTACATTGGTTGCGGGCACATCCCCGGTGGGGGGTGTGCAAGAGGCAGCTGGTCGATATTTCTCTCTCATCGACGTTTCTGGTTCTCTATCTCTCTCCCTTCCTCCTCTCTGTAAAATATCAATAAAATATATATATATTTTTAAAAAAGAGTTCAATTCTAAAGAAGACATGTTTCAGTTTGCCTGGGAAGATTTGCTGATGCGTCACAGGGGGGGGGGGGGACGTGAGAGCTGGGCCTTAAGGCATGTGGAGGAGTTTACCTGGCGGAGAAAGGACTTCCTCTTAACTTTTTTGGGGAAAAGGATCTCCTTTCAGCAAGATCATCCAGGCCCATGTTGGAGCCTTTGCTCACTCAAAAGAGACCGTGAGAAGAGACATTCTCAGGATCTTCAGATAGGACTCCAGGGTCTCCTAGTTTCAGCTCTCATTTTCAGCTGGGGAAGCTGAGGTCCAGAAAGGTCAGGTTTGTTCCCCTAACCCCGTGGCCGGCAAACTGCGGCTCTAGAGCCACATGCGGCTCTCTGGCCCCTTGAACGTGGCTCTTCAACAAACTACCACGGCCTGGGTGAGTCTATTCTGAAGAAGTGGCATTGGAAGAAGTTTAACTTTAAAAAATTTGGCTCTCAAAAGAAATGGCAATCATTGTACTGTTGATATGTGACTCTGTTGACTAATGAGTTTGCCAACCACTGGCTAGCCTAATATTCTTCATTCATTCACTTAATATTTATCAAAAACACACGTTGTATCAAGATACTGGATGCAGTGAGCAAAACAAAGATTCTTGCCCTCAGGAGGCTTATATTTTAACGGAAAGAGACAGTCTATAAACACAAAAATAAATTAAAAATATATGTCAGGCCAAAACCAGTTTGGCTCAGTGTGTCGGCCTATGGACTGAAGGATCCTGGGTTCAATTCCGGTCAAGGGCATGTATCTTGGTTGCGGGCACATCCCCAGGAGGAGGTGTGCAAGAGGCAGCTGATCGATGTTTCTAACTCTCTATCCCTCTCCCTTCCTCTCTGTAAAAAATCAATAAAAATATATTTAAAATATATATATATATGTCAGAAGATGGTAAAATGTGTTGAGACGCCCCTGGGAAGGTGGCCCTGGAGCACAAAAGGCCCCTGGCAGCTCTGCGTTCTGCCCGCTCATTGTGACAGGGCCCCTGGGTTCTAGAGTGCAGGCCCGGGGGCAGGGGAAGGCCTGAGCAGGAGGGAGAAAAGGACGGGCCGTAGGATTTAGTGGGAGGGCTGTGCCCCCCAGAGGGGGGAGCAGAAAAGCCCAATGGGTCAGAAGGGCCACAAAGATTCTCTTTACCCTCGTGAGAGGTAAGATACGTTTATTTCGAAGCTTCCCTTGCTCCCCTGTCCTCACTCCCCCAAACCTCGCCCCATTCTCGGGGGTCACCCCAGCCTGCCCTCCTCCCACCGTAGGAACACTCAGGGGCCGGTCCAGCTTGTCCTGTGTCCCAGCGGGCAGCCTGGAGGCGCTCCGAGGAGTCAGGGGGTCCCCGGGAGGCTCTGTCCCAGCCGGGCCTGGGGCTGACGGCCCCGTCTCACACCCCGTGCCTCTCTCCTCAGGACGCCCGTGAACAGCCTCCATGAGGCCCTGGACCAGTGCATGACCGCCCTGGACCTCTTCCTCACCAACCAGTTCTCAGAAGCACTCAGCTACCTCAGGCCCAGGTGAGGCCTGCCGGGCAGGGGTGGGGAGTGGGGGGGCGTGAGCGAGCCCGCCGAGGGGGGCAGGGATGGGGTGGTTGCGTCACGGAGGACCTGAGTTATGCTGTGAGGGGATCCCCGTGGAGCTGAACGCCTTCCACCTGGGTCACCCTGACCCCTAAGAGTCCCATAAACATGGCTCAGGCTCCCCCCTCCACAGTTGGGAGCAGCCAGGCCTCCCGAGGTCACCGTGACTTCCTTCCCCTTCGGTTCCTTCGGCCTCTCCCCTGACGTCCTGTTCCCACTGAGTCCACTGGGGGTTTCTCTGCGGTCAGTGAACACAGCCCCTTTCTCTAAGGCGCTAAAGGCTTGAGTGGCCTTTACTTAAGCCTTGTAGGGTAATAATGACAGTTAGTCACTAATTCTTCTCTCATTTACTGCCTTATTTCTAAATAATATGCTTATACTGCTGTTTTTAAGTTTTTTGCAGTTTTTTAAAAACTGAAATTGAGATACAATTCAGGTACCATAAAATTCACTCTTGTGTTACTTTTTAAACATCATCTATTGGGAAATAAGTTAGCTTTCATTTAAAAAAATGCTTTATTGATTTCAGAAAGACATTGGGAAGGAGAGAGAGAAAGAGGAAAAAAAAAAACATTGGTTGTTCCACTTATTTATGCATCCGTGGTTGATTTTTGTATGTGCCCTGATTGGGGAATCGAACCTGCAATCTTGGTGTATTGGGACAACACTCTCACCAACTGAGCTTCCTGGCCAGGGCAGAAGTTAGCATCTTATACCTCTGCCCCATCTCCCTTCCCTCACCTGCCTCTTACCATTCTATCAGTGTTTGGCCAGATCAATACTACATGTTTACATTATTATAACTGTGTAGTTAAGACTACATTTCCTTTCTAGAATGAATCATTGTCTCCTAACTTGCTATACATATTTCCTGAATGCCTTATAACCGCTCAGTCAGATCATGCTATTAGGAGTTTTCCCCTAAATGGTCAGACATAGCTGGTGAGCACTCAGTTCTTCCTTTTCCTGGAAACCTGTCTCCTGGAGGGCAGACAGGTCCCTGGCCGCCTCCCAGCGGTCTGTCTCCTGCACCTCTCTCTGCTGCTTTCGTCTTTGCTCCATTCCAGCCTTTTCTTTCTGTCTCCTTCCTCATTTATCAGAGCATGTTCCTCCAGAAATTCCTTTTATTAAATTATTTAAAAAAATCCTCACCTGAGGATATATTTTTCATTGATGTATTTTATTTTACTTTTTAAAATATATTTTATTGATTTTTTTACAGAGAAGAAGGGAGAGGGAGAGAGAGTTAGAAACATCGATGAGAGAGAAACATTCATCAGCTGCCTCCTGCACACCCGCTACTGGGGATGTGCCCACAACCAAAGTACATGCCCTTGACCGGATTCGAACCTGGGACCCTTCAGTCTGCAGGCCGACGTTCTATCCACTGAGCCAAACCAGTTAGGGTTCATTGATTTTTTAAAATTTATTTTATTTAATTTAATTTAGAAAGAGTGAAAGGGAGGGAAAGAGAGATAGATGGAGGCAGGTATGTGCCCTTGACCGGGAATCGAACCTCGACCCTTTGGTGTGCCGGCTGATGTTCTAACCACTGAACACACTTAAGACTCCAGAGGCAGAGCCCTTCTGTGGGATGATGAGGAGGTCAGGGTGTGACCCAGGGGACAGGGAGATTGGGCACCTGGTGCTGGTTCATTCAGCAAAACCTCGTGAGCTCACCCAGGTGCCCAGCCGCATGCTGGGTTCTGGGGCTGCAACACTGAGCAAGGCTTGGGCTGTTCTCAGCGAAACAAGCAATAAGGGCTGCCAGGATTTATACCTGGACCTCAACTCACGTGGGGAGGGGCTGGTCAGGAAGGCTTTAGGACTGGCCACACAATTTCTGGGGCTCATTGCAAGATGAAAATATGAGGTCTTTTGTTAAAAAATGTTTGGGGGGGGGGGGGGGAATGAGGACAAATATGTAATACCTTAATAAAGACATTTAAAAAAAAGAAAAAAAAACAATTAAAAAATGATTAAGGATTCAAGACAGCAATAGCAGAATATAAAACCAAGTATGGGAGCCGAAACTGGTTTGGATCAGTGGATAAAGCGTCAGCCTGCAGACTGAAAGGTCCTGGGTTCGATTCCGGTCAAGACCATGTACCTTGGTTGGGGGCACATCCCCGGTGGGTGGTGTGCAGGAGACAACTGATCGATGTCTCTCTCTCATCGATGCTTCTCTCTATCCCTCTCCCTTTTTCTCTGTAAAAAATCAATAAAATAAATTTTAAAGAAAACCAAGCATGGGGCCCTTTTGGGCAGGAGGCCCAGTGTAACTCACAGCCCCGGAGGGCCTCCTGGCGGAAGTGACGTTCATGCTGAGACGGGCTGGGTGAGGAGAGGACACTTCCAGGCAGAGGGAAGGGGCTGTACACAGGCCTGGGGGGGAGGGAGGGAGGAGCAGAGCCACTGGGCCTGGGAGGGAGAGGGCCGGGTGATTGACGGTGAAGGATCACATCCTGGAGCAGCGGTCGCCAACCTTTCGGACCTCACGGGCCACCAGGGGTCTGCGGACCGCAGGTTGACAACCGCCGTCCTAGAAGGAGCTTGGGCTGGAGGCGGGGGGGGGGGGGGGGGGGGGGAGTGAGTGGGGTCTGAGCGGACCAGACCATGGGGTGCGGGGCTTTAGGGAGAATAAAGAAAACAGAGAGGCTGGAAGCAGGGGCCGCCTCTGCCTCCCAGCCTGGAGCAGTCTTGCCCAGAGAGGCCCTCAGACTGTGCCTTAGGCTGAGACCCGGGCAGGAATGCGCCCAGGAAGGGTCAGGGAGGGGTGGGTCCGAGTCAGGAGGTCCAGGTGATGGGGGCAAGGCTGGCTGACAGGGCCCAGAGCCTTGGCTACTGGCAGAGGAGGGTAGGGCTGGAGACCACAGGGCTTAGCTGACTCCAGGTGGCCCCTGGTTCCATCACCAGCTCCCTGGAGGGCTCTTCCAGTGCCCGCCCCAGCTATTTATTTATTTATTTATTTATTTATTTATTTATTTATTTATTTATATGTTTTATTGATTTTTTACAGAGAGGAAGAGAGAGGGATAGAGAGTTAGAAACATCGATGAGAGAGAATCATCACTCAGCTGCCTTTCGCACACTCCCCCACTGGGGATGTGCCCGCAACCAAGGTACATGCCCTTGACCGGAATCGAACCCGGGACCTTTCAGTCCGCAGGTGGACGCTCTGTCCACTGAGCCACACCGGTCTCGGCACCCGCCCCATTGACAGCTGGTCCCAGCCCAGGCGTGGCCCCCAGGACCGTGATGCTCCATGGCCGGTCCGTTCAGAGCTGAGGGGCCGCTGCTCCGTGCGAACAGGAACGTGGCGTGCCTGAGGCAGGGAGGTTTTCACTCCTGATTCCCAAACCCCAGTCCACACCACGGCCGTGGGCTGGGAGGGGCCAGGAGCCGGTGCTGTGGCCACTTTGCCTGCCAGCTGCCCAGGGGGGCTGTGCTTCCGCCTGGGCCCAGCAGCAGACGGGCCCAGCAGGTGGGGCTGAGAGGGTGGGGCCGAGTCCCTGGCCTCAGGCCTGGGGAGGGGGGTGGTGTTAGGGGAGAGAGAGGGAGAGAAAGGCAGCGGCTTGAGAGTCCGAGAGGCCTGGTGGCAGGGGGTTGTCTGGGAAGCCCAGGTCTGTGTGTTAAAAGATACCCCTCTTGCCGAGACCGGTTTGGCTCAATGGGTAGAGCGTCCGCTTGGGGACTAAAGGGTCCCGGGTTTGATTCCGGTCAGGGGGCATGTACCTTGGCTGCGGGCATATCCCCAGTAGGGGGTGTGCAAGAGGCAGCTGAGCGATGACTCTCTCTCATCGATGTTTCTAACCCTCTATCTCTCTCTCCTCCTCTCTGTGAAAAATCAATAAAATACATTAAAAAAAAAAAAAAAAGATGCCCCTCTTTAAGGAGTCAGCTTTTATCCGGGGCAGTGACCCTTGACCCTGGCAGGACCTGGAGGAGCTCACCTGTGTTGATCATCAGCGATATGGCCCTGGCCCCGGCCTCCTCTCTAAGCCAACCGGGGCCCTGGGAGAGAAGGGTCGTGGTATCCATGTTACAGAGGAGGCACCTGAGGCCCAGAGAGGCTGGTGACTGGCAGGGCCGGATTCCACCCTGTGTCTGAGGGACTCAGAGGCCCGAGCTCCGCCCCCACTGCGGGCCGCGGCCTTCTTCCCAGGAGCCACTGCGGGCCGCGGCCTCCTTCCCAGGAGCCACTGCGGGCCGTGGCCTCTCCCTCCCAGGAGCCACTGCGGGCCGCGGCCTCCTTCCCAGGAGCCACTGCCCTCAGATCAAACAGTCCAGGCAGCTGTTTGAGCTGGGAGGTGAGGACGGCTCCCGGGCCGGGGAGGGGTGGGGCCGGCCATCGGCTTCCTTCCGTCTTTACCTCCCTCCCCTGAGGGTGACCCGGAAGTAAAGGAGCAGCTTAACTTACACAGGTGTCTTGAGAAGGAGAATAGCAGGGAAATGGGTACAGTCTCGTGATTTTTCCATCGCTTAGTCTCTAAACCGTAGTCACCTTCCTGCCCTGAAGTTCCCAGCACAGCCTGGCACGGAGGAGGAGCCCCAGTAATGAATGGGAGGGGGGGGTGCCGGGAAGGGAGCGAAACCGCTGCCAAACCCACTGTGTGCCCGGTAAGGGCGCTCCCCGGCCAGCCCACAAGGACCAGCTCAGGCCGGCCAGCATGATCGTTCCCATTTTGCAGGAACGTAAAGCAAGGCCCAGACACGTTCTGACTTCTCCAAGTGCAGAGAGGGACTGGCACTGTTCTCCTTCCAACTTGCCTGCTGCTCTCTCTCCATGGGTTAGACTGAATGTTCCCCACCCCGCACCCAGGTCCCAACACACCCTTCATTGAGGAGGCTGGGGGGAAGGCTTCCTGCCTGTGTACCCGGGTGCTGAGGGCAGAGATGCATCCTACAGAGCTGTGTCCCCAGGAGCCCCAGTCTGGGGAGGGAGCTGTGACTGCGGATTCCAGCTCCTAGTGAGCCGCTCTGCACTCACAGACACAGGCTCCCTGAGGACAGAGCCCGGGACTCCAACTGGCCCTGATACTCAGGGAGCAGGAGGGGAGGGGAAGGATAGTTCAAACAGAGGGAACAGCGTGTACAGAGACCTGGGAGGAGGCAGACGGGGGGATTTTCTTGAGGAGAGCACAGTGCCGTTCAGTTTTGAAAGCTACTAGATCACAGGGCAGAAGCAGATGTGGCAGGACCACGGGGCTGGAGAGGTGGGCGGGGCCTGCATTGTGTGGAGCTTCTTGGGATGTGGAAGCCTGGAGGTGTCACCAGAGAGACTCAGCCAGAGCAGCGTGATCTGAGGGTGCCTGGGAGAGGCAGGCGGTGGGAGGAGAAGAGGGGGGGAGGAGGAGGAGGTCCCTGGAACTGGCTCTGGGGGAGCCCAGGGGCGAGGCTGAAGAGAGAAAGGGTCCCATGGGCCGGGACCGGTTTGGCTCAGTGGATAGAGCGTCGGCTTGGGGACTGAAGGGTCCTGGGGTCCGATTCTGGTCAAGGGCATGTACCTCGGTTGCGGGCATGTCCCCAATGGGGGGTGTGCAAGAGGCAGCTGATCGATGACTCTCTCTCATCGATGTTTCTAACTCTCTATCTCTCTCCCTTCCTCTCTGTACAAAATCAATAAAAATATATTTAAAAAAAAAAAAAAAGAAAGGGTCCCATGGACCAGATGTGGGTTCCCTCTGCCTGCCCCCAGGGGAGGGCAGGGGAGGCAGAAGGTAGAGGCAGGTGCTGCCTGAGTGCTGGGAAGTGTGGCCTGAGGCCAGCTTTGAGCCTTCACAGCAGCCGGTTGCTGTATCTCCACAGAACAGAAGAGAAACTGGGCTCAGGATTGGAGTGTCACAGCCACTTTGCTAGGATCCGAGGTCTTCCCTCCCGGGACCCCCCCCTCCTTAGCCCCAGGCAGAACGGGAGGGGCCCTTCTGACGTTCTAGGAGTTGGTGCTCTCATGTCTCTTCTCTCTTGCAGAACCAAGGAGAGCATGTACCACTCGCTGACGTATGCCACCATCCTGGAGATGCAGGCCATGATGACCTTTGACCCTCAGGACATCCTGCTCGCTGGCAACATGATGAAGGAGGCGCAGTTGCTGTGTCAGAGGTCGGGCCCTGGGGCAGACGGGGCTGAGGAGTCATGAGGCCCATCCTTCCGTCACCCTGGCCTATCCCGGTGCCTGGAATGCCGCGATGAGTGCTCCTTTGGGCGAAGAGGCTGTGTGCCCGCGGCTCACAGCCGGCTGGCAGCACTGCCTCAGGAGCCTTGTTGTCTGAGCCGCTCCCTGGGCTCCCAGCCTGATGAGGGGGAGACACATCTGGCTCTGTCATTAGTAACTCTCTGATGGCCTTGACTTTCCCATCTATAAAATGGGTGCGATGATGACAGGGTTATCACGGGGACTGAATGAAAATACAAGTCACGGGACCTGGCGTGTAATTGGGGTTAGGTATATGTTACTGCTTACATGAACGAATCACTGGCCCCCGAGTGTTTGTGCACAGGTGACTCACTCATTGGGCACACAGTCATGCTCGCCCTCGGCCAGTGGTCGGCAAACTGCGGCTTGCGAGCCGCACGCGGCTCTTGAGCTGCGGTTTGCTGCTCTGTGGACTAATGAGTTTGCCGACCGCCGCCCTGGGCTGTGCCCTGTGCTGGGTGCTGGCCACCCAGCGCGTCACCAGAGCCCAGCCAGTTGGACGCTCACATGACCGGGTGGGAAGACAGGCATACACAGGGGCATCCCAGTGTGATGTAGGGGAGCACGAGGGCTGCTGGGGGTTCGGCTGGAGGAGAGGGAGGACTTCCTGGAGGAGGTGGTGCCGGAGCTGGTCTGTGAAGGATGACTAGCAGCAGAGGAGGGAGGAGAGGGGGCTCCGACCGAGGCGACGGGGGGGCCCGGGGGTGAGAAAGCCCTGGATCTGGAGAAGTCGCCAGGGGTTCGGCGTGCAGAGTCCCAGGGGAGGGGCGGGAGTTCACGGGGGGACCCTCACTCACACCCCCTGAGGGAACAGAGGCTCCTTTCTCCCCTTCAGGTACCGGAAGAAGTCCTCTGTGACAGATTCCTTCAGCAACCTAGTGCACCGCCCCACCATGGACCAGTTCACGGAAGGTGTGGCACCCACACGTCTCATCCTTGCGGGTCCGGGGAAGCCCAGCTCCCGCCCCCGGGAGGGCGGTTACCCTCCCAGTCTCCCCGCAGGGGCCAAGCCCTGGCCTGATGATGGGACCCACATGGGGTGTGGGGAGCGGCTCTCTGGTGAAGGGGAGACAGTCAGATGCTTGCCTGCTGGCTTCGCCTGCCCGGGACCGACGGCGCAGGAGTCCACGTGCTTTGCCCCTGGGGCCCGGTGCCTGAGCGCTGTGTGCAATTAGTTTCCAGTTTCGGTGGCAGTGATCTCCTCTGCCCCGGCGGGAATGAGGTTTTAGAAGGTGGCACCCGGGACGAGGTAGCTGAAGGCAGTGGAAGATGTTCTGTGTGGCCAGAGCCGTGTGGTGTCTTTATTTTTATTTTTTAAAAACATTATTGATTCTTTTTTTAAAAAATTGTATTTTATTAATTTTTCACAGAGAGGAAGAGAGGGATAGAGAGTTAGAAACATCGATGAGAGAGAATCATCGATCAGCTGCCTCTTGCACGCCCCCCACTGGGGATGTGCCCGCAACCAAGGTACACGCCCTTGACCGGAATCGAACCCGGGACCTTTCAGTCCGCAGACCGACGCTCTATCCACTGAGCCAAACTGGTTTTGGCTGTGTGGAGTCTTTGTGTCTCAGGCGACAGTCCTGGAGGTAGCAGCAGACGACCATGCACAATTTGGGGCTCTTCAATGGAGAGGCAAATGGCCTTCCCCACCAAGAGAGGCCTGGAAGGTTCCACCAAGAAACATCACAATGGCATGGTGCCATTGCCTCCTTTGTATCTCCCGCGGCTCCCTGTCGCCCACAGGACCAAATCTGTGATTCCCCACCGGCGTCAGGTCCCTCTGCAAGTGGCCTCTCCTTCCCCTGCCCTTCCCCCTCCCACCTCACCCACTTCAACCTCCTGGGCCTCAGCCGTTCTCCAACACTGGAATGGTTTGGCTCTCCTGGGCCTCTCCCTTTTTCAATCCAAATGCCCCGTCTTCTGGAAAGCGCCCCTGGCTGTGAGGTCTCCTTCCCTAGCTCCCACAGCTCCTTTGTTCCTCTGTTCACCCAGCACCTTCTCCTGGCCCGGCCGCCGCGGGGTGTTGGTGCACAGCCACCACGGGTCTTGGAGGACAGAGCAGCTGAGGGCCCTGCGCTGACAGCCTGGGTGTTGGGTGGGGGAACCAGCTGGCAGACCAGGGGCAGGAAAGGCAAGCAGAGAATTCAGACCAGCGTGAGCACCGCAGAGCCTGGCCTGGGTGACGGGGTGGAGGGCGTGGGAAGTGGCGGTGGGAGGATTTGGCCCACGCTTCCCGCAGGGGGTCCCCGGAGGCCACAGGGCTTTGGTTTCCTCCCCACAGAGGAGATCCACGCCGAGGTCTGCTACGCAGAGTGCCTGCTGCAGAGAGCAGCCCTGACCTTCCTGCAGGTAGGAGCCCTCTACGTAGACACGCAGCCTGGGGCGTCCAGAAGACGGGCCGCCATGTCAGAGGCAGGAGGGTCTACAGCAGCCACGATCGGTTCCCTTGGGGTTCCACAAGGACTGAGGCTCAGCCACCCCAGCACACCCCACCCTGGCCAGGCTCAGGGGCAGAGGTGTGGGCTCCATCCGCTACCAGGATGCGCTTCCTCTCCGGACTGCTGTGTTCCTGTGGAGGGTCTGCTTTACGAGTTGACTTGATTCACTCAAAAAGCTGATTAGTAGCATTTTCTATTGATACTACATGTTGCGCATACATGATAGGTGTGTGTGTGTGTGTGTGTGTGTGTGTTTTTCCCCCCCATATATTTTATTGATTTTTTTATAGAGAGGAAGAGAGAGGGATAGAGAATTAGAAACATCAATGGGAGAGAATCATGGATCAGCTGCCTCTTGCACACCCCCTATTGGGGATCGAACCCGGGACCTTTCAGTCCACAGGCCGACGCTCTGTCCACTGAGCCAAACTGGTTTCGGCAGGGGTGTGGTTTTTGCATGCCGCCTCACACACACCGCATGTTTGTGTCCACACACATTGACACACATTATTTCATCTTCATCTCGCAGACCCACAAAGGGGAAGGTTTAAGGGAAGGAGCTGCTTTCCCGAGGTCACATGGTTAGCAAAGGGCAGTGCTGGGATTTGAACCCAGACCTGGCACTCCTTACCCACAATGGTAGTTAGAGAACCATCACCTCATGATTTTACCAAAAAGTCTGGGTCATGATTGTCACATGTAATCATCATGTAAATATATATATTAGGTTGGAAAAGCACATATAACTTTTATTGTTGGGGTGCTGTTTAATTTTCTTTGCTATTTTTTTCTATCTTTTTGGGTCTTTGGTGATTAGAACCGGATTTAATCCTAATCCTTCATTAGGATCACTGTAATAATTGCATCAGGAATGTCCTTTTGTTTATTCTAGTATTCCACATAATAAATAAACACTCACAACCACCCGCATCCCCTCCGCAACTGAAGAACACAACATTGCTAGCAAGTCTCCTCCCTGCTGGGCCCCTCCTGCCCTGTGCCCTGCCTCCCTCTACAGGGGGAAACACTAGCAAGAGTTTTAGGTTAATCACTCCCCATCCTATTTTTTTAAAATAGCCCTTTCATCTTTCAATTCATGTCTGAACAGCATACGATGTGTTAGCTGGCGTCAGGCTGTGAAAGGTCTCCAGCTGAGTGGGACTTGCTTTCTTCGCCCAGTCCATTCTCTCTGCGAATGCGCCAGCTTGTTTATTCTTTCTTTGTTTCTGGTGCTTTCCGCTGTGAGCAGCGGGGCTGTAAACGTGCTTGAAGGCCAGGTCCACAGCCCAGGCTCATCCATTCCTCTTGGGCGTACACCCCGGAGTGGAACAGCTGGGTGGGCTGCAGATATTTGTGCTTTACATTACCAGCTTGTGAGAAACACAAACAGTCTGAAAATGAGCGCCCCTCCTCCTGTCCCACTTCCCTCCATGGAGAGGAGGCCCAGGGACCACGGGGGAGTCACGGGGCGTGTCTCCTCCGGGCGTGCCTCCCAGCACGAAGGGGGCATTTTGGAGGTCTTGTTTGGTGAGCAAGATCCTCATCTCAAGTCCCAAAGGCAGGGAGACCTGGTTTGGCTGACCTCTGACCCCATCCCTCTAGGGCCCTCATAGAGCTGGTCAGAGGGAGGGGAAGGCAGGGCTCAGAGTCTTGTATGATCTTCCTCTGGCTACTCACCCAGGCCCAGCTCTTAGCGTCTCTCCCTCCTGCAGGATGAGAACATGGTGAGCTTCATCAAGGGCGGCATCAAAGTTCGAAACAGCTACCAGACTTACAAGTGAGTGGGGCTGGCAGGGGCGGGGGGGCGGGGGCAGTGGAGGCGCAGGCCTGGGCACAGCATCTGCTACGCGGGCCTCCCAGGCTGCTCGGCGGGAAGCAGAGGGCGCTGGCTGGAGGCAGGGCGCCCAGAATGCCGTGCGACCTCAGGCAGGTGTCTGCACCCTCCAGACCTCAGCTCTCTGGAATGTTATTCCCCTGGTTTTCCTGGGCGTGCCTATTGGTTCCCCTGACTGCTTACTCTGCGCCGACCTTGAACTAGGTACTTAAGACACAATTCTGAACTAACAGCTTGGCATGGTGGGGGCAGGAGGAAAGACACCGTAATTTTGAGAATAGCCAAAATCGGTTTGGCTCAGTGGATAGAGCGTCGGCCTGCGGGCTGAAGGGTCCTAGTTTCAATACTTGGTTGCAGGCACATCCCCAATCGGGGGGTTCAGGAGGCAGCTGATGGATGTTTCTAGCTCTCTCTCCCTTCCTCTCTGTAAAAAAAAAAAAAAAAAAAAAAAAAAAAATCAATTAAAAAATATATAAATTAAAAAAAAATAGCAGCAGAACTCCTACACATCCAGATGCCCTTTCCCCATGAAGCCTTCCTTGGCCTTTCCAGTCCACAGGGATGGTGTCCACATACCCCCTCAGATGGAAGCAACTGCCCGAGGGCCAGATCATGTCTGTGCCATCTCAGCACTGGGCAAGGCAGAGGCCATGTCTGTGGATGAAAGAAGGAAGACTCAGAACAGAGCACTTCTCCCTAACATGGTATCACAAACATCTATAATCCCCAAATCCGAAGAGCTCTGGAAGCTCATCCCCCACCCCAAGTTTGGCATTAAAAATCATTTTCCATGAGAAGTTTACTTGAATTGGCTTGAGACTATTTATCATCTCTGTTTCTCCCCTTCACTGGGACCGTTCCCCAGCAGAGCGGGTCTGAGTGTGACGGCGAGGCATGGCACGGCGGGTCGGTCCGGGATTGTGTGAGGGAAAGCAGATGAGCGTTCTGGCTCCTCCAGTCTCCCCGCGCCCCCCCCTCCCCCCAGCTGCCAGTCCGATGTTTCCAAAGCACAAGCCGTGCGTGTCAGGTCAGCCCCGGCCAAGTTCCGAGGCTCCTCTCGCCTTAGAAGAAGGTCCTGGGTCACGGCCAACCTCGTTCGGACCTCACGGCCTTCAGACGTGCTGTTCTCCCTGCCAGGAGCACCGTTTCTGTGCCAGGCTCATCCCTCCTCACCCCTCAGCTTTCAGCTCAAATGGCAGCTCCGCAGGGAAGCCTTCCCCGAAGCCCAGACTGCGTCCAGCCCCAGGGTTCCTCTCCTTTGAGGCCCTCCTTCCTTTCACAGACCCCCTGGGGTCCATCCCCCAGAGTGGGAGACATGTGGGGTGGGCAGCAGCGTGGTGGCTCCCTGCTGTCCCTCAGTGCCTGGCCCAGAGAGGCCTCAGCCAGCGTCTGCTGATAGAAAGCCTCCAGGATGCTCAGGGCAGGGAGGAGGCAGGCGCACCATAAGGCCACTGCATGGGATACGGGCTCGTACAGTGAGTGGCTGGGGAAGAGCTGGATTCTAACCAGGAGACTCCAAGAAGAGGGGGTGTTGGAGTTAGCACACCCCCTTTTCTTGGCTAAACACGGACCAATGGCAGGGGAGGGGACAGGCCGGGAAACAGCTGATGACCCACAGGGACTGGGGGGTGGGGAAGGTTTCATGGAGGTGGTGGTATTTGAGCTGGATCTTGAAGCATCCATAGGTGGGGAGAGTTTTCTAGGCAGGGAAGGGCATTCTAGGCTGAAGGAACAGTAGGAGTTAGCACGGTGGTTCTCAACTGGGGGCAACACCCCCATGAGACATGGGTTGTCACAATTGGCATCTAGTGGGTAGAAACCAGGGATGCTGCTAACTATCCTACGATGCACGGGACAGCCCCCTCGCCCCCCAAAAGAATCATCCAGCCTAAAATGCCCGTGGTGCCGAGGCTGAGGAAGTGTTTTAGACAAAATGCAGAGCGCAGCAACTGCCTAGGCATTGGACGAGGCAGGGCGCCATGGCTGAGACAGCTGGCATTCAGGGGTGAGGAGCGTGTGATGACGGTGGGAGAGGTGGTTGGAAACGCCAGCTTCCTGGACTGCTGGAACTCATATCCCTACTACCGAGCGTTCGGAGGTCAGCTGGGAGTGGGGCATTGTTGGCCCCGCTGGGTGAGACCAGCCCCCAACATGTGCTTTGCTTCCCTCTGCAGGGAGCTGGACAGCCTGGTGCAGTCCTCACAGTACTGCAAGGGGGAGAACCACAGGCACTTCGAAGGCGGCGTGAAGCTTGGTGTGGGCGCCTTCAACCTGGTGAGTGGGAGTGCCCCGCCCATGACCCGTGTCTGGGCTCAAAATTAACCTCCCGCACATCCCGCCATACACAGCTGCCGCACATCCCGCCACACACGTGTCTGCCGCACATCCCGCCACACACACGTCTGCCGCACATCCCGCCACACACACGGCTGCCGCACATCCCGCCACACACACGTCTCCCGCACATCCCGCCACACACGCCTGCCGCACATCCCGCCACACACGTGTCTGCCGCACATCCCGCCACACACGTGTCTGCCGCACATCCCGCCACACACACGTCTGCCGCACATCCCGCCACACACGTGTCTGCCGCACATCCCGCCACACACACGCCTGCCGCACATCCCGCCACACACGTGTCTGCCGCACATCCCGCCACACACACGCCTGCCGCACATCCCACCACACACACGTCTGCCGCACATCCCGCCACACACACGTCTGCCGCACATCCCGCCACACACGTGTCTGCCGCACATCCCGCCACACACGTGTCTGCCGCACATCCCGCCACACACACGTCTGCCGCACATCCCGCCACACACGTGTCTGCCGCACATCCCGCCACACACGCCTGCCGCACATCCCGCCACACACGTGTCTGCCGCACATCCCGCCACACACACGCCTGCCGCACATCCCGCCACACACGTGTCTGCCGCACATCCCGCCACACACACGTCTGCCGCACATCCCGCCACACACGTGTCTGCCGCACATCCCACCACACACACGTGTCTGCCGCACATCCCGTCACACACGTGTCTGCCGCACATCCCGCCACACACACGCCTGCCGCACATCCCGCCACACACGTGTCTGCCGCACATCCCGCCACACACACGCCTGCCGCACATCCCGCCACACACACGCCTGCCGCACATCCCGCCACACACACGCCTGCCGCACATCCCGCCACACATGTGTCTGCCGCACATCCCGCCACACACACGCCTGCCGCACATCCCGCCACACATGTGTCTGCCGCACATCCCACCACACACACGTCTGCCGCACATCCCGCCACACACACGCCTGCCGCACATCCCGCCACACACGTGTCTGCCGCACATCCCACCACACACGTGTCTGCCGCACATCCTGCCACACACACGTCTGCCGCACATCCCACCACACACACGTCTGCTGCACATCCCGCCACACGTGTCTGCCGCACATCCCGCCACACACGTGTCTGCCGCACATCCCGCCACACACGTGTCTGCCGCACATCCCACCACACACGTGTCTGCCGCACATCCTGCCACACACACGTCTGCCGCACATCCCGCCACACACGTGTCTGCCGCACATCCCGCCACACACGTGTCTGCCGCACATCCCGCCACACACGTGTCTGCCGCACATCCCGCCACACACGTGTCTGCCGCACATCCCATCACACACACACGTCTGCCGCACATCCCGCCACACACGTCTGCCGCACATCCCGCCACACACACGTCTGCTGCACATCCCACCACACACGTGTCTGCCGCACATCCCGCCACACACGTCTGCCGCACATCCCGCCACACACACGTCTGCTGCACATCCCACCACACACATGTGTCTGCCGCACATCCCGCCACACACGTGTCTGCCGCACATCCCGCCACACACACGTCTGCTGCACATCCCACCACACACGTGTCTGCCGCACATCCCGCCACACACACGTCTCCCGCACATCCCGCCACACACGTGTCTGCCGCACATCCCGCCACACACACGTCTGCTGCACATCCCACCACACACATGTGTCTGCCGCACATCCCGCCACACACGTGTCTGCCGCACATCCCGCCACACACACGTCTGCTGCACATCCCACCACACACATGTGTCTGCCGCACATCCCGCCACACACGTGTCTGCCGCACATCCCACCACACACACGTCTGCCGCACATCCCACCACACACACGTCTGCCGCACATCCCGCCACACACACGTCTGCCGCACATCCCACCACACACACGTCTGCTGCACATCCTGCCACACACATGTCTGCTGCGCGCCTGGCTCTGTGCCAACCCCGGCCCCGCTGTTGTGGCCTGGGGGGGGGGTGCCCAGCGTGGTGAGTGGGGGTGCAGTGGGTGCTGGCACTGGCTCCAGAGTCCGCCCTGTGCATTTCTTCCCAGGCCAAGTTGTAAACTTAACAACTACGGTAGTGGCAATATCTGTAGCACCAGAAATGGAAAAACAGTAAACCAGGGCCTTTTCAGCCTCGGAGGCTGGTGGCTAAACACGGACCAATGGCAGGGGAGGGGACAGGCCAGGAAACAGCTGATGACCCACAGGGACTGGGGGGTTGGGGAAGGTTTCATGGAGGGGGTGGTATTTGAGCTGGATCTTGAAGCATCCATAGGTGGGGGAGTTTTCTAGGCAGGGAAGGGCATTCTAGGCTGAAGGAACAGTAGGGGTTAGCACAGAGGCTCAGAAAAGGTGTGTGTGTGTGTGTGTGTGTGTGTGTGTGAGTGATGTGGGGTAGTGGGTAAGGGGTGGGAGCGGCTCTCTCCACTTCAGGCAAAGCCTGTTCTGAGAGCAGGCCTTGGGGCAGGGGTCCCGGCCCCACTCTGAGTTCCAGTTTCCTCCTGTGTAAATATGGGAGCTGTGATCCTGGGCCACGTGCTGAGAAACACAGCTGCAAAGTGCCGTGGATGCTTTAGCAGGCTCTAGCCAGACCGCCCTGGGTTCAAGGCCTGCCTCCATCTCTGATGAGCTTTGGGGCCTTGGACAGGTCCTGCCCACTTACCTGTGCCTCAGTTTCCCCATCTGTCAAAAGGGCCAATAAGCCCTCTATGCTGGGCTGTTCTGAGGATCAAATGCAGTGAGAGTCCCTGGCCCAAAGTAGGGGTTCGGTGTAGTAATGACAATGGCTGACTAACGTGTGCAGGCCTCTCCTATGGGCTTTACACGGATTAATTTGATCCATCTGCACAGCACCCCCATGAGGTAAGGGCTAGTATTACTCCCGTTTTACACACGAGGACACGGAGTCACAGAGATGAGATGTAACTTGCCCAAGGTGACCCGGCTGGGAGTGGGGAGAGAACTTGGGCGCAGTCTGCTCCTGTCGACGGTCACACTCTCTGTCTGGGGAAGCTGGCTGTCCAGGAAACCTGGCATTGCGGACACGGGGCCCGCCCCCCCCAGGATCGCCCCAGGACTCTGGGGTCTGGGGAGCGGGAAGGGCAGCTGCCCCTGCACCTGCCCACCTGCTTCTGTTTCTGCAGACGCTGTCCATGCTTCCTACTAGGATCCTGAGGCTGCTGGAGTTTGTGGGATTTTCAGGAAACAAGGTAACGCCAGTTCTGGCTCAGCCACCATCGGTATGGGTTCCCTGGACAAGGCCCCGATCTCTCTGGGCGTCAGTCTGCTCTCCAGTCAAGTGGGGCCATGCGCCCTGCCCCGTCACCTCACAGGTGCAGGCTCTGGGGCGAGGGCGGCTGTGAAAGGCAGCTCTGCGCAGCGGCCTGGGGCTTGTTCCCTGAGCCTGACACGTGAAGAGCTAGAGCCAGTCCCTTCCTCTGGACTCTATTCTGGTGTGGGACATGCCCAAGAGAAGCCCTATGATGCATCAGGCCTGGAGGGGGGAAACCAGACTCACTTTACTGAGGGCAGGAACCTGAGTACCAGCTAGAAGATGAAGAAGAAGAGCTTCAGGCAGAGGAGACTTGGTGTGAGGGAAGGAACTTGGCTAGAAGGCAGCCCTTCTCCCTGTGACACTGAGCCTCTTTTCAGTAAAACAAGGGCTTTTTTTTAAAACCAGGTCAGTGCCCGACCTGCTTTGGCTCAGTGGATAGAGTGTCAGCCTGCGAATTGACGGGTCCCAGGTTCGATTCTGGTCAAGGGCACATGCCTGGGTTGCAGGCTCAGTCCCCAGTAGGGGGCAGTGCAGGAGGCAGCCAATCAATGAGTCTCTCATCATTGATGTTTCTCTCTTTCTCTCTCCCTTCCTCTCTGAAATCAATGAAAATATATAAAAATAAAATAAACCAGGTCAGTGTTTCTCAAATTTGAACTTTTTCTAGCCCTTGCTGACTTTTTTTTGCTGATTTTTTACAGAGAGGAAGGGAGAGAGAGAGTTAGAAACATCAATGAGAGAGAAACATTGACTAGCTGCCTCCTGTACACACTCCACTGGAGATGTGCCTGTAGCCAAGGTACATGCCCTTGACCGGAATCGAAACTGGGACCTTTCAGTCTGCAGGCCGACGCTCTATCCACTGAGCCAAACCGGTTTCGGCTAGCCCTTGCTAATTTTTGCCATGTGCACAGACCTCTATATTATTAGTTACATATTATTATTTTTCTGAAGTAAGTTTTATTTCAATTTACTTAAACATGCTACACAGATCACAACCATAACAGTAGTACTATGAGGACCGAACAATCTGACAAAAACCCAGGGTTGCCACGGCCGTTCCCTCGGTGAGGAAGGGAGTCGGAGCCAGAGCGATGTTGAACAGGCCCAGCACGGAGCCTGGTGTTCTCCTGGACACCGTCAGACGGACAGACAGAGAGCTGAGGAGGGAAGGCCCTCCCACGGTCCCTCCGCTTCCTCATGCCTGTGCTGGACCTCTAAAATATTGGTCGCCACGTGTGGTCCCTGACCCGGGCGGGGAAACACCAGTGGGAGGCTCTGAAGGTCCCTTTCAGCTCTGTTTTCTTGAGGAGGCCCCTGGGTGGCAGGTAGGAGGATTGCAGGATGCTGCTGGGAGGGAAGAGGACGAGAATGCCGGCCGCAGCGTGACAGTGCGGCTGCCTGGCCGGGAAGAGAGGTGGCGAGGCCAGAATGGAGGCGCCGGCGCCGGCTCTGTCTTCATCCTGGAAGTAGGGGAGCCCTGGAGGGTGTGAGGCAGGGAGGCAGCTTTGTCCCCTAGCAAGCACAGGAACACTGGCACAGACTGAGAGGCAGAGTGCCGGCAGGGATCTAAGTGGGGTCCGGCTTCTGCTCCTTCCCGGCCAGCCTCTGGAGCCTTCCCAGACCACAGTCCTCACAGTCCCATCTGTGCCCTGGGCCTGTGGGTTAGGATCACCTGCCTTCTTGTCGTTCCTCCTCCCCTTACCGGGCCTGGGGCTGCTCAGGGCCTCAGCACCCACCACCAGCCAAACAGGTGAAGAGGGGGAAGATGGGGGAGGGGCTGTGGAGGAGGTGGAGACACCTAGACCCGAGCCTCCTCTGTGGCCTTAGCAGCAGTGCGTGCTCCCCGCAGGAGGGTGCCTGAGACTCCGAGAGGACGGCCCCTTCCCCCGGGTGGCACAGCCTGGGGGCAGCTGACCTGGCCTCCTGGCTACACCCCTCTGCCCCCATCTCCAGCAGCACCTCCAGGCCCCGGCCCTCCGTGGGTCCCAGGGTGGGTTGGGGAGCCCAGGCCTTGCTGGCCTCAACCTGGCCTCTCGTCCGCAGGACTACGGGCTGCTGCAGCTGGCGGAGGGTGCCTCGGGGCACAGCTTCCGGGCCGTGCTCTGCGTCATGCTGCTGCTGTGCTACCACACCTTCCTCACCTTCGTGCTCGGTAGGAGTGTCCCGGGGGCCAGCGCAGGGGGGCTGGCCTTAAGGGCAGGGACCAAGCGGGTGAGGGTTACACAGCCTGAGTGGGCTCCTCAGACTCGGGATGGGGCACTGAAGCCGCAAACAGCAGAGTCACCTCAACTGCCCCGGGGCCTGTGGCCTTCTCACCTCCTCATAGTTTGAGTAGGTCCCAACCTCAGCTCTCTCATCTGTGAAATGGGGATGCCCAGGCCCACCTCGTAGAGGGTGTGAAGACACCGTAGGGAGCTCCTTGGTGTTCTGGGTGCAGCTCCTTGGGGTTAGTGGGCATGGACTCTTCGTTACTGAGCCCTGTCATATGGGCACAGAGGCGACATCTGTGCTTATTTAATCCTCACATCCCTCTAGAGCCGTGGTCGGCAAACTGAGGCTTGAGAGCCACATGTGGCTCTTCGGCCCCTTGAGTGTGGCTCTTCCACAAAGTACCATGGCCTGGGCGAGTCTATTTCAAAGAAATGGCATTAGATATAAGTTTAAATTTAAAAAATTTGACTCTCAAAAGAAATTTCAATTGCTGTACTGTTGATATTTGGCCCTGTTGACTAATGAGTTTGCCGACCACTGCTCTAGAGGTAGAAGAGTATCATCCCCATTTAAAAAAATATATATATTTTATTGATTCTTAACAGAGAGGAAGAGAGAGGGATAGAGAGCCAGAAACATCGATGAGAGAGAACCATCAATCAGTTGCCTCCTGCACACCCCCTACCGGGGATGTGCCCGCAACCAAGGCAAATGCCCTCAACCGGAATCGAACCCGGAACCGCTCAGTCCGCAGGCCAACGCTCCATCCACCGAGCCAAACCGGCTTCGGCAATATCATCCCCATTTCACGGAGCGGGGAGCAGAGGCCGTGAGGAGGCCCTGGTGGGTTGCCGGGAGGAACACAGGAGCCCCTGGTGGAGGTGACGTGTTGTACCCCCGCCCCCTGCAGGCACTGGGAATGTCAACATCGAGGAGGCAGAAAAGCTCTTGAAGCCCTACCTGCAGCGATACCCTAAGGTGAGCTCCACTCCCGCCAGACACCCCTGCCCACGTGTGCTGCGTGGGCCCACACAGACCCACACGGGTGTCTTTGCAGGGCGCCATCTTCCTGTTCTTTGCAGGGCGGATCGAAGCCATCAAAGGCAACGTGGACGCCGTGAGTAAGGGGGCCTCCCAGGCCAGCAGGGAGTCAGACGCACAGACATACTCAGGGCCAGGGCCGGCTGGGAGGGGGCCCAAGAGAAAAGGGGCAGCAGCGCAGGAGTGGAGAGGCACTTCTGAGGCAGTCTGGGGAGGAGCCCGTTCTGCCAGGGAGATTAGGACAGGGGCCTGGGGAGGGTGGAGAGTGAGGGCTCCACAGAAGGGAGGGAGCCATCGGAGGGGCTGGAGAGGGGGACCCCAGCACTAAGCCAAGACCCAGGATGGACTCCACAGAGCGGAGTCCTGGGGTCTCCTGCTGCCCTGGCTGTGACTCCTGCGGCAGCAGCACAGACGCCCCGATCCGGCTCACTCCGCAGGAGCTTCGGAAACCTTTGGAGCTTGCTCCAAGGCACAGATGCTGTTACATTGCTTTAATGTTAACGCTTCCCACTACCTGCTCTCCCTCCATGATAGCTCTGTCCCGTACTTCCACTCTGTGGTGGAAAGCCTAGAGCTCCAGAGAGAGGCAGGAACTGGGCCTGAGGCCCTGGGAGACCTGGGGAATAAGGACGAGAGGCCCGCCTCCCGCACAGTGGCGGACCACGTGCACGGGGTGGGTGCAGAGGGAGGGTGGGCTCAGCCGGGGGCACCGGAAGGCTGAACAGCTGGCGCCCACAGGCCATCCGGCGCTTTGAGGAGTGCTGTGAGGCTCAGCAGCACTGGAAGCAGTTCCACCACATGTGCTACTGGGAGCTGATGTGGTGCTTCACCTACAAGGGCCAGTGGAAGATGGCCTACTTCTACGCCGACCTGCTCAGCAAGGAGAACTCCTGGTCCAAGGTGGGCTCACCCCGAGTGCCGGGGGGTAGGAGGGGGACCAGGCCAACCCAGGTTGGCCATGCGCCCAGACCAAGGGCAAGCTCCTAACTGAACGCAGATGTCCCAGCTGGAATTTAAACAGAACCATAACTTCTAACAGGACTCCGGGTGGGAAGGAACGAGAGACAGCGAGGAACAGAGAAACTTAACTATACTGTGCCCGTCAGGAGCTTTAGTCACAAGGCACAGACGCATGGCTAGCACTGCCCAGGGGAGAGCTGTCCGGCAGAACCTCTGCGCTGGTGGGAATGTTCTGTCCTGCACCATCCACACGGCAGCCACCAGCCACATGGGCACAGCGAGCACCTGAAATGTTCCTAGTGCAACTGGGAAACCGGGTGTCTTCAGCTTTATTTAACTTTAATTTAAATTTTAAAAGTCACATGGGCTAGTGGCCACTGTATTGGATTTCGCTGTATTGGTTCATACAACAGAAAATTCTAGGCAAACTGACTTTAGATAGGGCTGGATCCAGGAATTCAAATCGAGTCATCAGGGCTGTTTTTCTACCTGTGGCTGTGTTCTCTTCCATGAGCCCTTTGTTGTATAGGCAGGCTCTCTCCATGTGACAGGCAGGGTGGCCCTGGGCTGCATGCCCCTAGCTCACATCATCCCTTTGGTTTCAAACAAAGTCCCACCATCCAGCCTCATTGGTCTGCACAGATTGCATGTCAATGCTGGGAACAGAGGGTGGGAGCAGAGGAGAGGTGGTTGCAGAAGAAAAATTGCGTGATATCCCCAAAAGAAGCATTTGGGGGATTAAATCAATGCCTATAAGGCAAAACAAAGCAAAATAGGTGCCCACCAAAGGTGAAAACATAGTATCAAGGGAAGTGGTGAAATAAGTATTAGCCATTATTACCATAGTAATGCTAGCACAGCATTCTGAACAGAGAGTTTTGGAATCATCTAGTCAGTGTTTCCCAAAGTGTGGTACACGTACCCCCAGGGGTCCGGGAAGAGTTTGGTGGGGATATGCGTTGCACCGTGCTTAGCTGCGCCTAATTCTACGTTCTCATGAGTACGAGGGGTACTCAGCGTTACGAAAGTTATAGAAGGGGTACACATCTGTCAAAAGTTTGGGAAACATTGATAGATCATCAGCATCTAATCTGGTATAGGTAACTACTTAGCACATATGTCTCAATGTCTTTAAGTCCCTATTTCTCATCCCTCCCCACCTCTGCATGGAAGTCCTTCTTCAGTCCCCCGCCTGGGGACCAAATGAAAGGGAATCCCCGGGCCTGGCGCAGGTGGGGTTGGGGGAAGGGGCCGGGTGTCCCTGAGCTCTCACCATGCGCCCAGAGCCCGCCACTTCCTCCACCCCACACCCAACGAGGCAGAAGTGATCTCCGTTGGGCACACCAGGGCTGCTGTGGCTAAGAGGGGCTGTTGGTGACAGACGGGGTGTGAAGCCAGCTCTGTGAGACTCCAAGGCCTCTGCTCTTCCCTTGTCCCTCGTGTCTCCCGAGGAGGCCCAGCTCGCCCTGCTGCTAGAGGGACTCCCTGACGCCCAGCCCTGTGGGCCCGGCATTCATTCCCCATCACTTCCCACTCCCAGTAAGAGCGCAGACTCAGGAACCTTTTGAACAGGTGGCCTAGAAGCCTCCCTGTGGAGTGAGCGGGATAGCTGGGCCTGCCTACACAGGGGAGAGGGGGTGGGTGAGAGCAGAGGCCCAGGCCTCCCAGATGTCAGGGAGCCTCGCTGAGTCAGCTCGGTGTCCAGCTCTGTGACTTTGGGGTGGTCAGCCCCCACTCTCTCTGGTGTTTTCCTCAGAAGGGGTTCCTGTGAACGTGGGGGTTGTAGCACCCTGAGTTCTGGGGCCTCATTCATTCCTCCTCTCCAGTCCTTGGCCACCAGAGTCCCCCAACTTTCAGCTGTAGGGGTTTGGCTGTGGCATCCCTCTCTGCCCTTGGAGCCTTCATGTTTCCCTCAGCCAGAAACTAGGTGACAACCGCATGGCTGTGCAGCAATGAGGGAAACGGGAGCTCGGAGGTAGTCCTGGGCAGCCCAGCCGCCCAGCCACCTAGCCACAAAAACAGGGGAGACCTCTGGAAGAGGAGACATTTGAGCTGATTTTGGAGGAGGAGGAATTAGAGTGGAGTGAGTAAAGGACACCCCAAGACAAGAGAACAGAAAGGTCAAAAGCTGGAAGTCAGGATGCTGCTAAGAGGCTCTGTGTCCCCAGGTGAAGGGTTGTGGGACTATGGAGAAACTACCCCTGTAAGTCACTGGCTGTAGCTTCTTCTTTTTTAAAAAATCCTTATCGAGGATCTTTTTCCCCCATTGATTTTTAGCAAGAGTATCAGGGAGGAGGAGTGGGGGAGAGAAACATTGATGTGAGAACGACACTTCGATTGGTTGCCCCCTGCACATGCCCCTACTGGGGTGGGGATCAAGCCTGCAAGCCAGGTTTGAGAATGGAACCCATGAGCCTTTGGTATAGGGGTTGGTGTTCTAACCACTGAGAAGCACTGGCCAGGGCTGCTGGAGCTTCTGGAAGACCAGGGCTGTCTGACCGCACAGATCCTGGTAGAGTAATACAGAAACTACAGGGACCAGGGCAAACGGATGACCCTGGGGAGGCAGAAGTCCCATCAGAGGCGGCGGCTGCTGTTTTCCGTCAGTGTGCCCCACAGATCCCTTAATGGCTTGATGTTCAAAGGTGTCACAATGCTAGGTCACTGCATCCACCCTCCCTTCTGGCGACTCAAGGTGGGTGAGCTGTCTGGAGGGAGAAGCCTCTTAGGGAGGACAACAGTAAGCCTGGCAGAGAAGGAACAATGACCTCTTAGGCAGAGGGAAGGAGTTGAAGGGCTTGGTGGGGGGGGGGGGGGGGAATAACTGGCAGGAGAGGAGCCAGAAGAGCAGGTCAGGGAGGGCCCTGAGTGGCTGTTTAGGCTTTAGTCTGACGGTGAAGGCACCCCTGATGCGTGTGGTTTAGATCTGGACTTTAAGAACTCCCTCCTGGGGTTGCTGGGCACTGCCACCTGAAGCTGAGTGCCTTTCATGTAATCTGGAAATGGCCCAGAAGCCAGGGTGGTTAGAACGAAGTGAGGGAGGGGGACACAGTGGGAGAGGAAACTGGGGGAGACTGGATGGGGCCTGCAGGCCATGAGAGGGGGTTTGGGTTTTATCCTGTGACGGGATACATTTCAAGGACATATGGACGTAATTTGACATAAAAAGATCTGACTGGCATGGTGTGGGGAATGGCTTGCAGGGGCAGGAGCGGGTGCGGGAAGATGGGTTAGGAGACCGTATAAACTAGGACAATAGACAGACATTCCTGGTGGCCTGCAGCAGGAGCAGTGTGGAGGCTGGTGCAGTGAGGTGAAGGACAGCTCAAGGCCAGTGGATGCAAGAGCTGGAGGGAAGGTAAAACCATGAGGACTTAGTGACTCAGTGCTGGCCAGGATGGGGAAGGAGGAGAAGGCAAGGATGACACCGGGAAGTTGAAGATGGGACGGGGAACAGGTTTCAGTGAGGGGTGATTCTTCCCACCACACCCAGTTTTTCTGTTTTTGTGAGGGCCGACTGAGGTGCTGAGGTCAGCGTAGAACTAGGAGCAGCCCTGGGCTTCAGCATGTCTGGGGCTGCCAGGTGGAGCTGCTTTCCGCCTTCTCCAGAGACTAGGCTCCAGGATGTCCGGCTCCTCCTCCACCCAGTACACTCCTTTCTGTGCTAATGGCAGGTGGGCAGGTAGTTTCCTTGGCAGCAGCTGGGGTGGCAGGATCTGTGATTCAGGGCTCGGCCACTGGAGGGCAGCACAGAGCCAGACTCCTCTGGCACTGGGAAGGGGCCCAGCTTTCAGGATCTCTGGGTGGAGGAAGGGGGTTCTGCACAGCCGCCCCTTTCCTGTCAGGGTGGCTGTGGATCCAGTGAACAAGGCCCTTAAAGCCACACATACCTGGGGTCTCTCCCAGCTCTGCCCCAAGCAGCTCTGAGGTCCCAGGAAGCAGAAGGTGCCTACCCTAGCATTGTCTTTGGGATCACGCGAGGTGATGTATGTAGAGCACCTAGCACACAGTAGGCAGTTTCACCAGTTCAGATAGCCGTGGCCCAGGGTCCTGCTCACTCTTCTAGCCTCACATCTCATTTATGCATCCCATACTTTGGTTATACACAGGCTCTGCTCAGCTGTTTCTCTTGCCTGGGAAGTCCATCCTCAAGGTCTCTGTGAATCTTCCTGTTGGCCTTCAGGGGCCCAGTCGGAAGCAATTGCTTCCCAGAAGCCCTTGCTGCCCAGCCTGCCTATCTCCGTCCTATCCTCAGCGCTGCCTGTGCGTCCATCCACTGGTTGCTTGAGTCCCTTCCTCCATTGCTTCAGAGTGGGGAGGGTGGCAGCCGCTTTCATATGGGCCCGTCCTGGAATTAACTCTCAGCTCAAGTTCTCAAGCTGCCTCAGCTCCCTCAGTTTCCCCCTGGGGCCGGGGGATGATGTCCGCTCCTGTGCTGGGCCCAGTGAGGTATTTGTGCCAAATGAATTGCCTTGTGGGTTGTGGCTTCCTCGGCGGAGTAAGATGTGGTCTGCAGCTCCATGAGCCTCCACAGCTGTTCTGGGAAGGTGGGCTCCTCTCACGTCTCTTGCCCTGCCTCTCACAGGCCACCTACATCTACATGAAGGCTGCCTACCTCAGCATGTTTGGGAAGGATGACTACAAGCCGTTTGGGGATGATGAAGTGGAGTTGTTTAGGTGAGTTCTACCATTGCACCCCCACTGTAGGCTTCAGCCAGGGTCTGTTCAGACACCCTGAGCTGACAGCATCCCTGGCCCTGCGCGCCTGGACCCTCCCCCAGGACTGCCCCACATGCCCGCCATTCCCTCCCATCACCGCCTCCTGCGGCTGCTTACTAGAGCCCTTTGAGTCTGTTCGGAGGCTTTCTTTCGCCAAAGTGGTTTTGTCAACATCCTTTCCCCAGCCTCTTTCGTCAGGTCAGTAGGACACTGAGGTCCAGAGACGTACCTTTGGCTGCGTTAACCTGCTTTCACTCAGAGAAGCACACACACACAGAGAGCCAGAGTTGGATCCTAAATCCAGCCTTTGTCATTTCTTATCCGTGTCACCTCAGACAATCTCAGCATCCATAAAATGAGAATAACCTCTGCCTTGCAGGGCTGTTTTGCAAATAAATAGAAAATATATTTAAAGAGCCTGGTGCGGGGCCTGGGCCCACCAAAGGGTGGCTGTTTTTATTCTTACCGGTAACTGCTGTGTCTGCTTTTTCTGCAAAGGGTCGGGAGCAGGGCTCAGGCTTGCAGGTCGAGAATGGGGAAGATAATCTCCCCTCTATTCTTTTAGGTTGGGGCTGAAACCCTTCTCCCCCCCCAACCCCCCTAATAAAAGACAAGATTATCAGGAGAAATCAAACAGAAGTTAAATAACCTGAATGTCTCCTGTACATGTGGGAGAGGGAGAGACCCAGGAAAACTGAGCAACTAACCTTAATACCATCTTCAGCGGAAGACTGAAGGTGTTGGGGGTGGGGAGCCAGTATGTGGGGTTACCAGGAAAGCACAGTCAACAAGGGTCAGGTTGTGACTCATAATGAAGTCCTTTTCTTCTGCTCTGATGAGCATCTAGAGATTTAGTCATCTCCCTCTTCCTGGTCCAGAGAGGGAGCCACCCTAACAGATGGGATACCCCTTGTAAATATGTCTCTCACAAAAGGTAACTTCTAGGTTTTCAAGAGCTTTTCCTGTGTCTGCTATTTTTTTAAAAAAAAATAACCAGCCTAAAATAATCCTCTGCCAGAGAGGCCTGTTGTGGGGTGACAATTCTGCTCTCCTTCATATCATTATCTCCATTTTGGAAAGGAGAAAACAGGCCCGGAGAAGTTTTGCCGCGAATAAACAGGGCGGTGTTCGGTGGGGGAGCTCACGACGAGGTCCGGTTGTTTCCTGGGCGGCTCAGGCTTGAGGGTCACAGCCACACCCCGTGACTGTGGCAGAAATCGGAAAGTGGGATGGAGCTGGGTGGGTGAGGCCCCAGATGTGGAGGCTTGCTTAGCTGCATACCGCATTTTACTCTGCCCTTGCAAACAGCTGAGGCCACAACTGCCTGTGGCAAGAGCTAATTAAAGCTTCCAGATGTGCGGTCTTGGGCAGGTCCCTCCTGTTCTTGGGGTGTTAGTCTCCACTGTGAAATGGGGTCAGCCCCTCCGGAAATGGGGCCTGGGGACTGGAGAAGAGACAGCTTGAAGGCAGAACAGGCCTGGGCGTTTGTGTATATCCTCTCCTCTGCCAGCTGCTGCGAAGGAGCCCTTTGCCTACCCACAGGAAGTGGTCAGGTCTTGGGACAAGGCCCGTGAAACAAGATGTAGGCTGTGAGTCCAACACTATCATATAGATGAGGAAACTGAGGCCCAGAGAGGTGACAGGCAGCCACTAGGCAGTCTGGGGATTCTCAGTTCTCTCTTGCTTTTTCTCACCTTCCCCACCCTCCTCATCTCTCTTGCAGGGCTGTGCCAGGCCTGAAACTCAAGATAGCTGGGAAGTCTCTACCCACAGAGAAGTTTGCCATCAGGAAGTCCAGGCGCTACCTCGCTCCCAAACCCATCTCATTGCCAATCCCTGCTCTGGTGGGTAGGAGGGTCTTTTGGGATTGCATTTTTTGGGGGATCACAGGGGTTAGCTGAGAGCCAGGGGTACAACCATGGGCCCAGAGGAAGTGGATGAGGGAGAAAGACCTTCATGCCTCAGGGGCCTGGAGAGGATTTCACAATTCACCTGGGACTGGGAGACAGATGAGTCGAGGCAGCCCTGGCCTCTGAGGAAGTGCTGGTCTCCTGGGGGTGTGGTGACAAGTGAGCAGCCTTCCTAGACTGCCTACACCCTGTCCCCAGGCAGAGGCTGTTTGTGTTCCTACCCTTATTGTTTCAGTCTTGTCACGTGGTTGTTGTTCACCAGGCTGAGCGTTTCTGAGCCCCTGAGCCCTGGGACTGTGGTATAGTCAGCTCTGAAATAATAGCCGACACTATTATTAATAGCTGTGTTCAAGGTTACTCACACCCATCGCCCATGGCCTCATTTGATCCTCACAATAACCCTCTGAGTAGGTGCTAGTGGTATTCCCATTTTACAGATGGGATACTTAAGTCCCAATAGATAATACAAGTAGAAAGGTATCTAATAAGTGGATAAGATATAAGTAGAAAGATAAAATAACCTGTCCAGGTTGCACAGTTAGTAAGAGTCAGGGGTTTAACACAAATAGTCTGGTTTCTGAGCCCATGTTCTGAATCATTGTTATGATGCTAATTCCATGCATGATTTTAGCAGTCATCAGATAAGTAGAAAAGGTCCTCAAAGACCATTTATTGGTCCTGGATCTACTACTACTCATTAATTTGTGACCTTGGGTAGGGTCCCCCTTCCTTAAAATGGGGTAATATATACCTTCCCACTTCATAGAACAGCTATGAGGATCAGCTGATAAAATGTTAGACACTTTATAAATCAAAGCATTCAATATTTATAGAATGTATTTAGAACTTGTATCCTGACTATCTCTATTTAGAAATATTTTATAAAGTAAAACTATTGTAATCAAATGGGGGAGGGGTTGTAAGGAAGGGTAGGGAAAATTTCGGAATTTCCCAAATTATAATCTGGAAAGTACAATTTATGCGTAAAATGATTTCTGAAATATATTAGGTAAGACTGTTCTAAACAAAGTGTATATACTGTAGACCTTGGAGCTTTTATATACCAATCAGCAGGGTAAGCCTCAAGAAGCTTGAATACATTTTTTCATAACTCATTGGGCCCTGCCATTTTTTTTTTTAATGGAATATTTGCTAACTTGGAACCATATTATGATCTTCAGAAACACTGGTCTAAACTTAAATTCCCTCCCTAGAACATAACAAGAACCATAATATTGTCTTTCTAGAACTTTATGTACACAAATCACTTTCACATCTATTACTTGGTTTGATAGTTTAGAAAATGTTAACCCAAGCAACAAAATTATTATGAATAAACATGCTAGTATTCTGAGCTTCCTAGAAATCAAAGCAGAAGAAGGAATAAGGGAGTTTCATAGTTTTCAGGATGGTCACTCAAGCCCAACGCCTTGGGGAACAGGAAGTGACACAGTCTTAAACTCTATTGGAAACACTGAAGTGCTGAGGTAAATTATTTCTCCAATATTTAGAAGCTCATAAGGGCCTTTAGTGATCCTCTGATCTGAGCTGCCCATTTTACAGATGGGGAAACTGAGACCCCATGGAAGAAACCTAGGACTGACTTGCTCCCCTACCTTCAGGAAATGATGTACATTTGGAATGGCTACGCTGTGATTGGGAAGCAGCCTGAACTCACAGATGGGATACTTGAGATTATCACCAAGGCTGAAGAGATGCTGGAAAAGGGCCCAGGTGACTACCCCAGGCCCTTGAATCTGCCAGGTTGGGTCAGATCACAGGACTTGCAGTTGAAGTTTTCCTCTACCAAAAATGTCCCTCCTTCTTTCTCTACCCTGGTAACTGACCTTTGCCTTTCTTTTCTTTCTTTCTTTTTCTTTTTCTTTTACGGAGGAAAAGAGAGGGATGGAGAGTTAGAAACATCAATGAGAAACATCCATCAGTTGCCTCCTGCACACCCCCTACTGGGGGATGTGCCTTTCTAGACTGAGCTTCAACGACAGCTCCTCCAAGCTGTCTCTTGTCCCCCAGGTAGAGTCAAGGCCTCTGATGGGCTCCCACAGCCCCTGGGCCTCCTTCAAGCAGCCTTGATCCACTGAATTGTCATCGTCTCAGTATGTCTTTCCTTCCCAGATGTGAGCTCCCTGAGGACAGGGACCATGTGTGAGTCACCTCTGTGTCCTCGGGGCCCAGCACAGAGCAGGGACCCCATGAGTAACTGTTGCAGAAACGAACAAGCCCGTTTTCTCCTCTCATGCCCTGTCCTCAGAGAACGAGTACTCAGTGGATGATGAGTGCTTGGTGAAGCTGCTGAAAGGCCTGTGTCTGAAATACCTGGGCCGTGTCCAGGAGGCCGAGGGGAATTTCAGGAGCATCTCTGCCAAGTAAGTGCCTCTGTGGCTGCTCTCAATCCCGATGGCTACTGCAGCCTGGTTCTCCCAGGTACTTTTTAGGGCTGCTTCTCCCTCCTGTGCACTCCAGTGCCTCCCCCGAGGCACTACATGTGTACTAGTGTCTACTCTGTGCCAGGGCCTTGCAGGGCATAGATCATTCACACCTCATCTGGCAGGGCTGCCAGACTGCTCACCTACAGGAGCCTGTTAATGGTGCCCCTGAAGATTGTAATTCACCAACCCTGCCCTTTACCCTTGTGGATTACACGTTACAGATCAACAGTTACAGGCAACTCCATCTGATATGACCAGGGCCGTGGCACAGGGAAGTGGAGAAGACAGCAGGTGCCCTGAGGAGGGAGCTAAACTTAATTCAAGATACCAGGAGAGGTTTTCCAAGGATGCCAGTTAAATTGTGAAGTTTATTGGATAGAGAAAGCAATGAAGGAGGAGTTTTAAGTGGAATGGGGACAGCATGTGCAAATGTTGGGCACAGATATGCCTGAGGTTGGAGGGACAATGAAATTGTCCTGCCTGGGTGAAATTACAGAGGGAAAGGGTTGCCAACAAAATAAGGGGAAGGGGGGGTGCACCTAGACTGCAAAGGACCTGACTGTTTTGCTTACAAGACTGAACTTTATCCTGTAGACAGAAAAGGGTGAGGAAGGATACCAAGCAGGGCAGATCTGGATTCTAAAAGGATCGTTCTGGGACAGCATGGTGGGTTGGTTAGAGGGGCCAGATTGGGGATAGGGCACTTCCCAATACAATAAATAATTCAACCAGGAAAAAGGGGTTTGGGGACTGAGGTGGAAGTGGCACATGAACCATAGGTTGTTAGGGAGCTGGCTCTCGGGTGCAGAGGTCTAGATGGCTAGGTAGCGGGAACCTTCCCAAATTAGAATTCAGAGCTAGAAACCCCACTTGGGGGCATGGGTTAGATCCTCCCATTTGGGGAAGGCCTGGGAGAAGCCTGAAGGACGTTTCAAGGGCAAGCCTATAAGCCATGTGCTCTTCTTCCCCACAGTGAAAAGAAGATTAAATATGACCACTACTTGATCCCAAATGCCTTGCTGGAGCTGGCTCTGCTGTTTATGGAGCAAGGCAGAAATGAAGAGGCTGTCAAACTCTTGGAAACTGCCAAGTAAGGCTGGATTAGCCCTGGCTGGGGGCAGAGGGAGAGTGCTGGCAAGCACAGTATAGCAGCCCAGAGCCCAGGCCCTCGTCCCTGGGAGCCCAGCTCTCACCAAGCGTGGGAAGGCTTCCTTGTCAATTCACCAATGAAGAAATGGAATCCCAGAAGCAGGAAGTGAGTTGCCCAGGATCACACTCAAGATGGCCACAGGGCTGTGTGAAGACCCTGGTCCCCTGTGTTCTAGCCCACAGATCTATCTCTTGACACCTCAAGACTAGGGGCTGATCAGGACCAAGAGGGTTCCACAGGGCATGAAGTCTGGGGGAGGGGCTGGCCACAAACCCTTTCTGCTGACCCTACGGCAGACCACCCAACTTTCTCTTAGACAGACAGGGATTTAGCCTTCTGCAACTCTTCCTTGGCTGGTGGGCTCCCACAGCTCAGACGGAAGAAAAAGCACTTTCTACAGCAGCCTCATGTGTCTGATTCTCTGGTCTCTTCCAGGCAGAACTACAAGAATTACTCCATGGAGTCAAGGACACACTTTCGAATCCAGGCAGCCACACTCCAAGCCAAGTCTTCTCTAGAGAATGTAAGCAGAGCCGTGGTCTCATCAGTGTCCCTGTAGTTTGGCGCAGCACTCCCAAGCTGGCAGACAGACAGCTGGACAGAGCTCCTGGAAACATTTCAAAAATGATCCCCACCCCCTGCCTTGCCTTTGGGGTCTACCGGTGCTCCAGTGGGATGGCACAACATGAGTATCCGTGAAGCAGCCAAGCCTGCATTTTCATCTGTGTGGCCAAGGTCCTTTGCCAAGGACAGAGCAGGTGGAGCCCTCTGCCTGCCCTATCACATATACGGGTACTTGTTTTTCACTGTGATGTTTAAGAGAATGTATGAACAGTTTACATTTTACTTACAAATACAATGATGGGATCATAGTTGGCTTTTCAAAAAACCACCAACCAATCACCTGTAAGCTTTGCTTTAACCCATACTGATCGGGAGGGAAATCTGTATGCTGCCAAAGGCCAAACTGCTTTTCAAACTCCAGCAAGGTCTCAGCTTCCAGGGCTGGCAGGACCCTCAGGACGGTCTGACCTCAGGCTTCAAGGCTTCTAGGGTTTCACACAGACACCCACTATCTTACTTCTTACCCTTCGTGTTAACCTCCTCTGTATCTGTCCAGTTTTGAAAAAGCAAAGATGTCTATTTAGTGAGATAACTCATTGGTATCCATCTGTAGGAAACCAGTCTCCCCCAGTAAGGAATGGGGATGCCGAGGCCTAACAGAAGGGGACCTGTGTGTGTGGCTCTTTCTGTGCCATGAGGTTGGGGGGAGGGGTGGTTTCCCTCAGATTGAAACCACTGGGAATAATTTATAAAATCTTCTCTACTTCATTCTGAGGTACATTTATTTACTGACAGCATTTTTTCTTAGAAACAGGATGGTAATTCTTGGCATATTTTTATTTTTTTTCAGTTAAGTTTTATTTAAGTAATAAAACTTAAAAGAGATCATGCAACATCTACTAGTATTTCAGTAAAATATGTGTTGCTTGAATTCTTAGGCAGGGCAGAAAGTTTAGATCAGAAACCATATGGCCCAGGTATGTTTTATTTGGACAACATGATATTAAAAAAATTTTTAGAATAAGTTAACTTATAAAAATGGGGAGATTTCACAAATAAGTCTGGTTTCTGACCTCTAACACACACACACACACACACACACACACACACACACACACACACACACACACCATCTGGCAACATGGGGCCTCATTACCATAAGGCAATAAGGCAACAATCAGTTGGAGCTGAGTAGAGGCCACTTTAAATACTTGTATTATTTTTCTGGGATGGTTAAAATGAGAACTCAAAAGTTCAGTAACCAACACCAAATTTTACCATTCACAATCTCATGACAGCACACTTCAGTTTAACCATTTCCCTAGAAAAATCATAAACACAGTAAAAATAATCATGTATAAACATGTGACTCCTCAAATACGTGAATGCAATTTCTTTAAGGGAAGGACCATAGACAACTTTTCTAATCTTCCAGCACTGCTGTATTTAGCAAATACTTTTGAGCATCTGTCAGTGGCCGGGTGGGTTAATCTATTAATGTACATTCAATCAGCTTCCTATGACTGACACTGAATGAAGCAATGGGTTATAGCATTTTCTCATTAGGAAAAGAAGCAAAAAAACCCTCATTCTAGGTCCTCCTTCGCACTTAGTACCTTCAGAGCAGAAATGCTATGGGTTTTTTCCCTCATTTTGTAAGAACTAGACAAAAGAATGCTCTCCATAGAGCAGCCCTTTGCAAGCTCTATTTCCTCCGAAGCCTGGGTGCTGGGAGACCAGTTTGTTTCTAGGTGGCTGGGCAGGGCCAGAGGTGACCAGAGCCAGACTGCTGAGAGGACAGCATTTAGTGGCTTCCCCACCTATTAGAACTCTACCTGCTGCTGTATAAAAGCAGTACTGGCCATAGATACCAAATATAATCTGCCAAATAGTTTATGAAAAGCTTTATTTCAACATTTATTTTAGGTGCTTCCGCTTGTATTTTAAAGTTTAGCCAGATGGTTTCCTTGACAGTGTTTGTTGCTGTTTTCTTGCTGGGCTTCATTAATTAGCCTACGTCACCTTTACCTCTGTCTGCTGCAGCCTGGCCGATAAGAGAAATCAGTGGATCTTGTCTCCTTTATCCCAGCTGCTGCTTGAGATAATCTGTGAAAACATGTATGTGGAGGAGAGTGGAGGGTGACCATATTGGGTGTCCTTGTGCAGAGGCCTTTGAAGGTGAAAATTCCATTATGGGCTTCTCACTGTGTCTCTTTGAGCCATTTCTGGTTACTTCCCTTAAAGACTTTTCCAGCACATCTGCCCTGGATAAGCAGCTGGTCAGGTGGAGAGTTTTGGCCTAAAAATAAGGAGACTTGAATTTTAGTCCCTACTTTGCTACTGAATGATTTTCAGAGTAACCTTAGGAAAGTCACAGACCCTCTAAAAACTAGTAATTTGGACTAGATTACTCTCTTTCCTGCTGACAACAGTTCGAATTCTAACTCTGGTCAAGTCTGTTGGTGGGTTTTCATCTCCAAAATGAGGCAACAGATACATAACTCTTTACCTTTTGCCAAAACTTAACCAGAAGTGATAGGCTTCCTCAATCAGGGGCCCTGACTGTAGCCCAGGATACCCAGCGACAAATAATCCTCATTTGGGGCAAGTCTGCATTCTGTGCCACACAGAGGAGCTCAGCTGTTAGGAAGTAGAAACTGTGTAATATGACCTGAACAGGCCCTTGAAGACGGAAAGTCTACCTCTGCCTCTCACTGATCACAGGCCCTTGGGCTGGCTGGCTGGCGGCTTTCAGTAGTGTGCTGCTCCCTATCAGTTCTCCCATGTGTTGGCAGGATTCCCTATTCCTTATCTCTCAAGTCAGAATGGGAGTGTTTCCAAGACCTCTATCGTCATTTATGAAAAAAAAAAAAAAAAAAAAAAAAAAAAAGCCAGGACCCGACAGCAAAGTCAGGGCCCTAAAGGGCCAACACCAACCCAAGACTTGGCTGAGGTCCAGGTGGGCGATTCCTGACAACTGAAGAACAGCACCAAGAGGTTTTAGAAAACCCTAGCCTGTGACTACATTCAACACAGGGATAAAATCCAAAGACACTTATTTCTGGAGTTGCTCTCAAGTTTGTTTATTCTAAAATGATGGGGGAATGGACAATTTCTTGTTTGTTTAAAAATTAAAGCTAACAGTGTGCCTTTTCAACAACTGTTTCCTTATGTCTTTAGCATCACCCCATTTATTTAGCAGTAATAAATGAGAGGTACCTGGATTCTGAAAGCCAAATGGGAACTCCTCACCCCTGGCCCCAGAGGTAGCTCTCCAACGCTAGAAAGTGTCTTTCCGCTTGGGTTAGCTTAGCTCCTGGGAAGCCTGGTGCAAAGTTCACTACTGCCCAACAGGGTGAGTCCACAAACAGGAGCCTCATTTGGGGGCTTGAAAAATTCACTTCTAAGTTAGCAATCTATGAATTGCTTCCATTGCACAAAGTCAACTGTCAAGTGACAAAATGTAATACAATCCTTCCTCTGGGAAGATATACAATTACTAGAGGTCACTATGGACTTCTTAAAGTTGACATTAAAGTTTAATCAGATACGTCACAGCTAACACCTCACAAATGACTAGACTGGATTGTCTTGTTTTTCTTCACATCATTAACAAACACTTCTGAACACCAGATGCTATATGCTCTGGGTGGGGAAAAAATAGCTAATATCAAGTGCTCATTATTTACCAGTTGCTAGTTTAAGCACTTGACATGATTCTAATCCACATAACCACATTATGAAGTAGGGACTATTATTGTGATTTTACAGATGAGAAAACAAACCGGTTAAATAACTTGCCTAAGATCGCCTGGTTACTAAATATTTGAAGCCAGGCAGTTGAACTCTAAAGCCCACACTTTGTTAAACTGCTGGTTGAGCTTAAAATGATCAATTTAAAAGTTGGATTGATTTATAGTCACTTAGGCCATCCTTAAGGTACTGGCTAAAAACTCAAACATTAGAAACTTGGCTTGAAATACATGGAACATATGTCTGTGTAGAAGGTTCCTCAGGCCACTAGGCTTCGTGAGGTAGGAATAGGGTCTAACTTCAATAAAGCCAAAAGGGAAAAAAAAGGCAACCCTTAAGCAATGGTATTTGCTCATAAAACCATCGAGGGTTACTGGAGGAAAAGGCATGATCTGATCCCCAGATGGATAAGTAAAGTCTGGTCAGCTACTCCAGAGACAAGAAGTGAGGCCTGAACAGATATAGAGACTCAGGCTTGAGGGGCAGCAAACCATATGCTAGAAGAGATTTGGTATTCTACATAAGAGCCCAATAGGCAAATTGTCCCCTCAGACTGTCGTTCACCTAGGAGACCAATCGCTTACTATGATGTGCGCTGACCACCAGGGGTGGCACAGAACATGGCGGGCGTTGGCAATGCGGTACTGGCAGTGGGCGGCAGTGCTGGCCCCCACCGCCCCAATGAGAGCAGACTGGTAGGATGGTGGAGCAGGAACAGGTGAGTGGGTGGCACCAGGCCAAAACAGGTTCGAGCAGGGGCCCAATCGCCCCGCCAATTGTCCCGCAAATGGTGCTGAGCAGGGGGCCCAGCCCTGACTGAGTGCCCCGCAAGTGGGATGGTGAAGGTGAGTGGGTGGTTCCAGGCCAAGGTGGAGTGCCAGTGGGGCTGTGGGGCTGGAGGCATGAGCTGAGGCTGTGAGGCTGGGGGTGCGATCTGGGGCCCAAACTCTGCAGGCCACACCGAGGGACCTAACCCATGCACGAATTTGTGCACCAGACCTCTAGTAAAACAGTAAGAAGTAGGAACATTTGAAAACTGGTATGTGTATGCTAAAACTGGTATGTGTATGATGCAACATCATATCTATGGATCAAAGTGGTACATGGGCCAGAAATCTGTCACCCCTGGACTACAGCTTTCAGTTAACTATCTATGGAAGAGGTTGTGAGCAAATTTACAGTTAGAGAAAAGCCTGATCTACTAAAAATACTAACTTTACGTGGGAAATTTATTGGGCCACA